ATACGTGAAAGTGGGGAAACATTACCTTCTTCGTCTTGTACGATCTCAACCTCGCCGACGTTGGTGTTGATGTTGTCCATGACAGCAAGAAACAATAGACAAGAACAACGATTGGGGATTTAAGATTGTAAAAGAAGGAGAGGAATCTCGGCGATAAACCAGAGCACGAGAGAGAAAGAGCAGAACTCAGATGTGAAGAATGAGGCAGAATGAATCCCACTCCCCAAACGGGTCGATACTTATAGTTATTAGAGGAAAGACGAAGGGTTAAAGTAACCTCGAAGATCGCAACCGTCAGACGTTTCGAATTTCGAAATTCGCCCGCCCAAACGGACAAATCAGGTAAGGACACGTGGACACCTATTCGAAGTAGGTACTAGCCGCTGACGTAACTAGTTACGCACAACGCCTGGGGGGCATGGCACACCCGCGAGGAAAAAGAAAAAATCTCGCAAAGATCGCGCACATGATTCAGAATCCCGGACCCCAAGGACCGCGCGCCATCAGGCAACTACAACAGAGCCCCTCGCGCAAGCTACGGAACACGTGAGGAACAATCGCAGCCGTGATAATCACGCTCGATCAATGGCACACCCGCGAGGAAAAAGAAAAAATCTCGCAAAGATCGCGCACATGATTCAGAATCCCGGACCCCAAGGACCGCGCGCCATCAGGCAACTACAACAGAGCCTCTCGCGCAAGCTACGGAACACGTGAGGAACAATCGCAGCCGCGATAATCACGCTCGATCAATCGGCGCGCCATCGACGATTCGAATCTCACAAGGACCGAGAGCACGCATCTCAGGCGAATCAGAATCCCCCGGAGATCGCGCGCTATCAGGCAACTACAACAGAGCCTCTCGCGCGACTACGGAATGGCAAGGCGCACACGAGAAACCCCGGGAACCGCGCCCAGGCCCGAGTCAGTCAAGCGAAGACCTAAACAGAGGGCGTTCTCAGAACACCCTCTGATGGGGGGCAATTGTTGGGCATGTGACTCGGACCTAACTGTGCAAGGCAGGACACGCCGACAGAAGACGCACGCGAAGGTCTAAGGCGCGCATGCAGGCTTAAGGGCGCGCCACTACGCGTGCGCCAGCGCAGAGAACCAGCGCGCGAAGACCCAGAGCTCCTCACAAGCCGCGCGAGAGTGGAAAGCATCAAGGCGCCAGAGCTCCTCACAAGCCGCGCGAGAGTGGAAAGCATCAAGGCGCAGAGGCTCAGGCGCGTTGTAAGCCACTTAGCCATAGGGAGTTCCCCTCACACTTCCCGAGGGTCAGCCGCGTCGGGATCAGTGACACAGTCGTAGGTACACCCCTGACATGTCCTAGGTAGGGGGATGGCCTAAATCCCCGACATGTCAGTGGTCACATCAGAGTCAGGGTCCCATCATGTAATCCATCCACTCACCCACCACCATGTAGCCTATAAATATGGCATTTACTCCGGTGGGTGAGGGGATCGCATTTTTCACCACTCTCTCTCTATAAACATCAACTTCTCTCTCTAAACGGGAATTCTCCCAAACTCACCCCAAAAGTTCCCGATTTTCCTCTAGCTTACTCTTCTTAACCCACATCTTCCCTGAACCTCACTCCTACACTCAGTTAGGTTCAAACAAAACCATAATATGATAAAATCTAGTTAAATTATTGAAGAAATTGAGGTTTTCACTTAATTACAACTTTGTTATAGCTAAAATATAATGTAATAAGAGGAAAATTCTAAGTAATTTGACTAAGATTATATGTAATTTCGGCAAGAACGGGCCGAGAATGGGGCGGGTCAGGGCAGGTCGGGTCGATGAGAGGTACCCATGCCCGCCCCGCCCCGCCTACGGGGCGGGTCTGACCCGCCCCAAAACAGGCCAAACAGGTCGGGTAAATCGGGTCAGGTCAAAATTGCCATCCCTAGGAAGAATGGAGTGGGAAATGTTGGATCTTAAAGAAGGGGATGCAAGAGGGGTTTAGAAAGCAAAGAAGGTCAAGAACAGATTGTGGCAGGAGAGGTTTGGGAAAGAGAAGAGAGATGGATGATAGGCACAAGCCTCCAAATCAATTATATGAATCTATAGCAAGAGCTGTCTTGCAGCGAGAGAAATGAAAAGTTTAACTCAAGTGGAGGAGAGAGAGAGAGGGGAAGTCAAAGAAGGGGAGAAAGAAGATAATAGGAAAGGTGTTTATGGGGGTTCTCTTGGGTGGAGTAATTGGCGAAGAAGAAGAAAAGAGGGAAGACGCCAGAGGGAAGAAGTAGAAGAAGCAAGCCGCCATCAGACTGGCTGCATGATAGAACCTGAGATTAGGGTTCTATCGAGAATTGGGGATTTAGGGATTAAGAACAGAATTAGGGATTTGAGATTGGGATTAGGAGAGGAAGAACAGAATAAGAATCGGCCGAAGCCTTTGATTTGGGACGAAGAGAAATTAGGAGATACGGGAAGCTTAGGGTTTGGGAGGATAATTCTTTAACTGATTTCTGCTTAATTGAACAAAAGACTCAAAGTACATATTTATAGCTAAGGACTAGAAAAACCTAATAGACTATCCTAATATGACTCAACCCTAATAATAATTATTCTACCATAATTAATAATAGAAAACCCTAACAACCATGTTTCTATCATTCCCTCCCCCTTGAAACCAACCTTGCCCTCAAGGTTGCCCGACTCTACCCACTTCTCCACATCTCTTATGCCCTCTGCGCCTTGACTTCTCCGTTTCTTGCGCTTCCTTTTCTTCCAATCGTGCTTCACTGCTTGACTTGGGCTTCTAGTAACGATCTTCTTGTGCGTTCCCAACTCTTCGAAATTCACTTCAATGGACCCACCATTCGCTCCCACTTCACTCTTCATCACACTCCAGTAACTTAAGGAATCTAAGGAGGCTTCTATGCATAAGAATCCATCATTGAGCACCAAGTCGTTAAGGCCTTCAAAAATCTTTCTTGGGGCTAGCCCATTTGTTTCACTAATTACCTGCGGCCCATCCTCCTCTAAAAGCCCACGTATCCATTCATTAAATACACCTTTCTGTTCCACCATATTGAAAAGACAACCCAACCTGGGCCAAGCTTTGTCCCAAAAATTCGGCTCATATGCTAATGTGAAGCCTGCATAATCCTCCAATAATAACCCAGCAAAACTCCCTTCTTGAACTGCTAGCCCGCTTTCTCTCGGCCCAAACGTCCTTGAGACCAGGTTAGTTGCGCGACCCAGCCCCGTTCTCCCTTGCCGCAATGTGCGGCCCAAGGTGGCTGACCCAGCGCTCACAGGAGGAGATACGCTGTCGTATGGGAGAAGGAAATCGTAGCCGCCCCCGTCTTCCTTCGTCTCGACCCCCAGCAGCGACCCGTCCATCTCCGTCGCCTCCCCCGGCGGCCCAACTTCTTCCTCCGACGGCGAGAAGATCGGCGACCATCCTGCCGCCTGATTCCCTGCGCCTCCCAGCTCCGGCGCCGCCTCTAGCGCCACCACCGGCGCAGCCGCCGCGGCCAACCCGCCGGGCGCTGCCGCCACCTCCCCGACCGCCGGTCCTCCGCGCGGTGTCGTCGCCAGCGCCAGCTCGCCTGGACCGCCTGCCGTCTCCTCTGGGCAGTCCTCCTCGCACGCCGAAGCTTCCCGGTCGGCGCAGAGAGCGTCAATCCGCTGCAGCAGCCGTGTCCAAGAAGGATCAGAGAGCCTTGCAGAGCTCATGTTGGCTCTGATACCAAATGATAGAACCTGAGATTAGGGTTCTATCGAGAATTGGGGATTTAGGGATTAAGAACAGAATTAGGGATTTGAGATTGGGATTAGGAGAGGAAGAACAGAATAAGAATCGGCCGAAGCCTTTGATTTGGGACGAAGAGAAATTAGGAGATACGGGAAGCTTAGGGTTTGGGAGGATAATTCTTTAACTGATTTCTGCTTAATTGAACAAAAGACTCAAAGTACATATTTATAGCTAAGGACTAGAAAAACCTAATAGACTATCCTAATATGACTCAACCCTAATAATAATTATTCTACCATAATTAATAATAGAAAACCCTAACAACCATGTTTCTATCACTGCAGCATATGAGATAAGTGCATTTTTTGATGATATCAACAATAGTGATACGATCCTAGAAGAAGAGAGAGTAAGGGGAAGGGGAATAGCTCTACGTTTGGAACAATGAAAGGTGAGGAAGAACAGGAAGGGGGGAAAATGGAAGATAGGATCTTAAGCTGCCGTGAGGCTTTGGGGCTCTGATACCATGTAAATGAAATGCAAAACCCATCTAGTATATTATTGATCTTGAGTATATATACAGCAGGAGATTATAACGTTCTGCCTATTTCTAAGGAAGTGAGAGTAACTAAGTAGCTAAAACTAAGGAACAGAATACATAATGGGTAGACTAAGTCAATACACTCTATCAGATACACCCTCGACCATCTTGTCTAGTCTGGTCAAGATATTTATCTTGGCTGTTACCTATTGCTAATGTTTTGTAAATATGATCTTTACTATTAGCCGCCAGCCACCTTAGAATATGAAATATGTTTCCTATCAATAAAAATGCTTTATTTTTTCTCACAAATGGTTACCATAATTCTCAGCAACCATCAAATAAGTCATATAGAACAATCAAGTTCCACATTCATATCTTGTTGGATATTACTTGAACTTCTTTATTCTTTTTGAAAACATATTCTAGCTATCTAGGTTGGTTGTTTTCCTTTTGGAATACTATAAAGTTGACATTCCATCAGATTTCCATGAAGCTTCATGACTCATGAGACAAATAAAGAATGCCAAATTCTGAAATAGTTAGTACACTTGGAAGTCTCTATAACCCAACACCTCCAATGATTACAGTCATGACTTTATCTTTATTATATTCTTTCTTGTCTCCATGGGACAAGAAAGGAAGACAACAATAAAAAACTACAAATCACCAAATGAAAGAACCTAGAAGAGGTATGTATTCATGTAGACTTCTTGATTGGCCGGGTTTAATCTTGTTTAAGACACACTAAACATCAACTTGCAGTCCTGTGTCATATGTTTGTCCAGGTTTCCAGTCACTTGGTATGTTGTTAACAGGAACCACCCATGACTCATTGCCATCATCATCACTGAATAACATCCTCAGGGACAGAGGTCCTCTGGGAGGAGAAGCAGTCGTCCACACAGCTCCATAGCTCCTCTCCAGAAGCTTGCACCCGAAAGTTTCTGTCTGCACATGCCAAATAGTCAGTCCTCTATCCTGGATATGTTTGTTTCAATCAGTAACAGAAGTTAGCTACAAGAGTCGGTAGGAGATATTGAGACATGTTTGATTGGAGAAATTAAGTAATATTTTGACTGAAAAGTGGAGGATAACTTAGAGGTTGCAAGGAATTGGTTCACCCCAGATCGAATTGGCTATTAGAACGATTCGGTTTTGGTTCTCCAATCCAAAGGATTTTTTTGTTGGTTTCGAAATCAGACCCAGATGCGACTTTAGTTTGATTAGGAACACCATCCTTTACGTTTGATTCTCTCCAATGCTCATTTGGTTCGATTCTGGATTGAATGAACCGTGGACCCCTTGGAGGATATTATCAGAAGATAAATGATTCAGACTGTTTGAATTTAGGAGAAGATAGAGTGCTAGAATTGGGAAAATGTATGCATTTGTGATTTTAAGTTAGGAATATAAAGGAAAGATGGAATTTGTTCATATTACCTCACAGAGCTGGACGGCAGTAATATCCTTCTGCCCCTGCTGATACCGTATGACGAAAGCAAGGTAAAAAGGGTAGTTGCTGTTCTCATCAATCTTGATCGTTATGTTCTGGTATGGATGGCGGCATGAAACACTGCATGCAAGAAAAGGGGATAAAGGTTGAGTTAGTCCATAGTTATCTGATATACCTTCAGATTCAAACTTAAAAGAAGTATATAAGTTATGCTTTTGTTTGCTGAATGACCGCCACACTACAAACTGCAATCTCACCGTCTATATTCAATGTCAACAATTCCAAGGGCTAGCAATGATGCAGCTGCATCTTTGGTCTGAGCCATCCCAGCAAAGGCCCGTCGGCTGAGAATGAAATCGGTGTTGTCACTCGACCCTTGGTCGGTTATAACGACGGTCAACCCTTTGTCTGAGCAGTAGTTGCTATTGGTGCACCTCACCTATTTGAAATGTGGTTAACAGGTTATGGTTAACATTTGATAAATTCGTGCAGTAAACACCAAAGCGGAAAACAAGTGATCCTTTGGTGATAGCTGACCTGATAGCAGGCACCACAGCCAACACCATTACGGTATAGTTCAGAAGCAGCTGATACATCTCCACCATTCAATGTTGCTCCAAATGTACCAAATCCACAGGCGCCAGCTGAAATTTGAACAACCAGCGAATCAGTAAAGAAACAAAAAGGAACCAAGTAAAATTATCATTTCTTATACTATGTGTGCATTGGTTAATAATCTTACTCTCTGTTCCTTTCTCATCAGAATTCGGGTAGTGGGCAGCACGAGAATGGATGAAGCAGTCTTTGCATTGTGCTGCATGTGCCTGGTTGTGCATAAACAGCACAGCTGCTAATAGGAAAGCAAGGGTTTGAATGGAGAGAGCCATTGATGGATATACTAAGAGCCTTGAAGAATCAGGGTATGATGTACAAATGTTGAGCAATGCTTTACAGTATTTATAGCCAAAACGAGCCAGCTTGCTTCCATGGTTTGGTGAAACTTTCAACTTTTGACATTCTGATATTGAAACTTTGACAGGAAAATATCATTTTAAGAGTCGTAAGACCACCATGCTAGCTTACCTTCTTAGACTTGGAATTACTTGTGTCTGAAGAAAATGCAGACAACAATGGTTTCTGACCTGCAAATAGTTTACTGCACTTTTTCTTCGCCTCTTTAAGTCTTCTGAATTTAGGCAATAAACATCTGTTTCCAAACCTGGATTATCAATCAGCATCTTCCATTGTAGTGTCCCATTCATTTCTAGTAGAAAATTTTGTTTGTGATTCTCTTTGTTCCACACGCAGGACCATGAATCTAGATTGTGTTTTCTGATGCCTGCAGATTGTATTGTCTAATTCGGTTCGAGTCGGATGAAATCACATGGTTATACCTATATCCTCGAATCTGTTAAGTTGCAGGGGGAATGGTGTGGATGAGGAAATTATAGAGAATCCACAGAATTGGCTGACTGCATGACTTGTAAGGATTGGTTGGCTGGGTGGCTACTTTGACAACCTTATCTGGTCTTACAGAAAGAATGGTTCATAATTCTAAATGGGCTAAAGAGTTAGGTGCAGTGGCACTAAGCAGCCCCTAACTGATAGGAATCTGTTCAGGTTCCCACCACTTGAGTCCTCATTATGGGAAGTTTGGTGATGTATACATGCATTATCACACTATTCTAACAGTAATCAAATCATCCTGGTTATGTTCTGAACTTTACAGCCAAACATGTTCACATAGAGGTGGCGGCGGCAACCTAGAGGGTCGGGTACTTGGATCAAAAGTGGAAGGCCGGTCGGGTCGAGTTATAGGGGATGGCTAATTCGGGTGGGTCACTTGTTTATGGGTTACGGTTCATAAAAAAAAAAAAGCGATCTTAGACTAAGAGAATTGAGTATACGAGTTGGGTCACATGAGTCAAGTCATAATGTAACGGTAACCATTGATGGAGTTTGGTAATAACTTAGAGATCAAGGCAAATCTAGCATGTATAATAATGTGTCAAGATGCGCCGCATAATTTTTAGTTGCAAGTCATTTTAATTGGATCAAATTAACATATCAAATTTGGTATTTGCCACCTAACTTCGCAATTACTTTGACTTTTCATTTTGATTTATTTTGGTCCCGTAAATATTTTATTAAAAAGTATAGCATTTGGTGAACACCCGGAAAAAGACAAAATAAAATAAAACATCTAATCAATAAAATAATCTTTTGTCAAATAGTTGTTACTTCTAGGGTAGCACTTTAGGACTACCCAAATGCAATGAGGCCATTTGAGTTTCAGAGGAATCTCTCCCTCATATAATTGGAAGCCAAGCACCTAATATTCTCCCCCATACTCTATGCTTTTCATTCTCTAACTGCCTCTAACTTTGTCCCCTTTGTAGTTTGTATGTGGGAATAGGTTGTGTTATGTCATTTCAGAATTGCATCATTAATATAATATGAATTTGCTTGTCATAAAGATTCATTATTTTTAGGGCTAATACCACTATAATAAATGAACGGTAAAAAATTGCCAATTGTGTTATATTATATTCAATATGACAATCATAATTTGAACTATTTTTTGTTAATGTTAACCGGTGTTGACCGTTAGTATTTAACGGATGGACAAGTCATCGATTGAATGCTTATGTGTGTGCCAACATGGATTTTGGGCACACGATTTATTTTTTAGGGTGGTATTTACACATCATTAACCGAGATTAAGATGATTTGAAATGTGATGGATAACATATTCTTTAATACTTGAAGATTTAGAGTTCAAATCATAAAAACTACAACCTATTTTATTTTTATTTTTGAAATTTGAAACTACTACTTAGAGGTATGTGATATTACCCCAAATTTTAGGGGTTTTTTAATAGTATTAGGGGTGTCTGTGTTAACACTTAAGAATCCATGAAATTAAATTCCTAGCTAACTCTAACATTTAGCTCAAGTCACTGCTCATTTCAACTTTATGTTTTTGAGTTAGATGAGAGTGTGCTTTGCATTGTTTTACAGTTTGATGCATCTTAGTTGTGTTAATTACAGTCATTTTTTGTTAATGACCTATTCACTAGGCCCTTCCACTTGATTGAACCAAATAGTCAATATTTGGTGGGTAAATTTGATTCAATTTATGAGAATATAACCCTATGGATGGATGGGTGTGGGTTAAAACTCAAAAGTCAAATTAATGACCTATTCACTAGGCCATTCCACTTTTTTCCTATTAAATTAACAAATTGAATCATATGTTAGGTTTAATTTTCATTTAAATTAGATAATTACAATATGAAAACTTGTAATATCTTTGCATTGAATTCAGAATACACGTATTTTTTTCCTTTGAGAAGAGAGAGAGATATGTTTTTCACATGGAAAAGAAATTGACTGAATTTCCCCTAAAAAATGAAATTGAGTGAATCAAGTCCAATTAAACTCTTCACTTGAGGACGAATTGACGAAGTGAGGTGGGAAATGTCATACATAAGGGTGGAAGTTTGGTTTGCGGGTAACCCGTAAACCGCACTAAACTGCACACTTTGTGGATACTCATATCCATAATTTGTGGATAGTGGATTGGGTGTGGGTAGCAAAATATTAATTTTTGTGGTTAGTGGTTAATCACTATCCACAGCGGTTTACCCACAAAACCCACATTAACCACATTACTTATATTTATTTCTTCAAATACTTTGTAACCCACATTAACCACATTAGTTATATTAGTTTGTGAAACTTGGAAGACTAAGAATTAAAGTAGCTACCAAAATCAAATACGCACTTATTCTATAAAATAAAACCAAGTCAATGCGCAATGTTCATGTGAGATATTTTTTTCAAATAAACATTGTCTGTGTGGTATATGTTTATTGTATAACAAAACCAAGTCCATAGATATAGTCAGATAAATTAGTCGATATGTTAAAAGAGGGGAATAATCGATAAAGGTTAGTCTGATGCGCAAAATAATCTCCATTCCTCCACGAATTCACGAACAACACAACATGCATGATGCAACCAGCTACCAACAATACAAGACTATAATCGAGAATGGAGAATAAGCAAATCATTAAAAGCGGGCGCCTCCACTTATCGAGTCACTTTTGTGTTTTGCTGTTATTGTCAACGGAGGAGCCGTGACATGCAACGATGTTTGTCTGGTAATAGGTCACTCTGCCTCTGCGTTATCTTCAAATCTCTTTCCAAATCCATCTCTTCTAAATTTACACTAATAAACCTATTGTATTCGAGATTTATAATTTATTTAACACTTTATTAACTTTCCATTATGCATGTTTTTGTGTGAGAAGAAACATAACATCACTATTTAATTACAATATAAATATATTTAATGCAAAATTTTTGTGGGTATCCACAATCAACCCGCAGCGGGTTGTTGTTAACCACTACCCACTGCGGGGCGGGTTGTGGATAGCATAATTCTACATTTGTGGATGTGGTTACCCGCAAAATGTGGGGCGGGTAACCACACCTACCCCAATTTCCACCCCTAGACTCATACATACATAGGATATCGAACACAAGATTTCTAGAGAAGTCCAAACCACAACTATGCTTCATATGAAAATCAATGTGTCTTAAAATTGAAGCTTTTTTATTAATATTTGGATTAACCGATCTATTTGATCACTACGGATTTCAATCAAACCCATAACTGATGGTAACAACTTGCCCCCGACTCAGTTAAAGTGAAGAATTCCTGTATTGACTGGATATCGGACGAGTATGCATAAAACTCGCGAAAAGTTTGATGAGGATGGGGGCGGGTATAGTCCACCGCCCCCAGTTGTCTAGCTAGGATTTCATCTAAGGTGGGTCCACTTAAAGAAAATACACATGATAAGATAGTTTTTGTTAACTTTGCTAATCATTCATGATATAATTGGAACATTTTGGTAAATTAAAATACATTAGTAGGCGAAACTATCATATTTATTACCCTATGTACCAATCAATGATTAATGATTTAGTTAGTCGTTCTCTTTGAATGGTGTTATTTGTCAAAACCGTATAGTATCAACAACTCGACTTGTTGAGAGAAGTTTAATAATGAATCTTACACAAAACAAGAATTCATTATTTAGTTAGTCATTCATTTTCATATGATGTTCTTTGTTAAGAAGTGTTTTTAATATCAATATCTCAAGTTGTTGGAGAGGTTCAATAATATCTTATACCGTTTATTAGCACGCTCCCTCATAAGAAGTCAACTTATACAAAGTTTGCACAAATCTGATTGTGCTTAAGAAATGAGGTCACAAAGATTCGAACGCAAGACTTTTTGATAAACTATTTTCAATAAAAACATCTCCTAATTTTCAGTATCAATTAACTATTATATCTAATTTAACCATTTTTCTTCCGAACCAGAATGGGTCCCGGGACTCGCCCTCTTATACTCTCCCTCCGTCACTGACCGGCCCATACCTATGCCCACCCCACAAATAATATTTCTGTATATATATAAAAAATAGAGAGATATAATTGTAACATGTCTATGAAAAGAAGTGTAATTAAAAAAAAGATTTGAAATATAATTGAGTAGCCACCCAAAGCAAACCTAATTTCTTTCCCTCGAAATTTCATTTCACTCGTTCACTTCTTTCTCCTTTTAACAAGATTATGTTAGTTATGTATTGTTTAGTAAATGTGTCGGATTCAAAAATGAATTATTTGAATACTATTGTACATTTTCTTATGGATTAATGAATGTTTTAGAATTGATGGTCTGAATTCGTATTAAAATGGTTATATCTTTGTTGTTTTCATGATTTATTAGGTCCGTTCAGTGTTATAATTTAAGATCTACACATTAAACTTTAGATATAATAATGTTGGATGTATGAGACCTGTATTATCCATGTGTATCTGAAAACCACAAGTATAGCGTATGAGGATGCAAAACCTACTCCGCATGAATATGGACGGGCGTGGCTTCAATGAATGAATGAGCAAACCGACTAGAATGTCAGACCATGATTTAGGGCTGGCAGTCTAGACCAAACCGTGTGGGAAATCGCGGTCTAGACTGTATCATATGGTTTGTTCTGGACTGCGAGACTAGAACTATGGTCTGGACGGCTATGTGGTCTGGTCTGGTTTGCGGTCTCCTCATTTAGGGTGTGGTTTGGACCGCGGTCTACCGCAGTAAACCCTAACAAACCATGACAAACTTTCTACTAACTCCTACCAAAATAATACTAAATTAAACTTCCATCTACGTATTTGAAGAACAAAGTTGATTCTTTCATCCAGTTGAGAGCCAATAGATTTCCCAAATGATCGCTTATGCGTTATCTCCTTATCAAAGAACCACACAAAAACCAGAAAGATTCATAAATAATATTCACCTACAATGTCTAGACTTTGGAGTCGATTAAACATAAACACTAGAAAAAATTCATTTACCTTGATGAGATAAGGAAAATTATTAAGAGATAAGCGACCATTTTAGTGGGTCAAAATGACTTGACGTTATCACGTAGGTGATCGACCGCGAGAATCTTTGGATCACCCGAGTGAGGGAGAGAAGCGGTAGCACAAAAAGGAAGAGGGAAACAAGGCTATGTGATGTGTATTCTTTTTAATGGATAGTGGATAGAGCCGTGGAGATGGGAGAGAGTTTGAAAATTGAAAAAAACCCACTTCTTTCCTCATGTATTTCTTCTCATTTTAATTAGATCATTAATTTTTGTTTCACTAACATATTGGTCGCTAAAATTCTTATTTTTATAGATATCGACGAATGGTTGGAGGACGGAATAAGAGTGAGCTTTTAATATGATGTGTCTGGTTCAGACTGTACCAGACCGCACCGCACATATATAATCTGGATCGTATAGCCAGCCAATCAGGAGCTGAATCGACGAAGCCAACGAAACCCTAAAACAAGATCGGAGAAAGGTTGCGTTACCTAGATGCGGCGACGACAAAGCTTCGATCTTGAAGGAAAGGACGAGTTCGCCGGCGAAGCGGCACGATGAGCGCGGCGACTCCCCAGGCCCATCGATGGACTCCATGAACTCCTCTTAGCTAAAGTACCAGGAGGCGGCGAGGAAAATGACGATGACGGCCAGGAGAGCCCAAACTGCAATTTCGGTGTTTTCCGGGTTCTTATCGGTTTTCGGTTTAAAGTGAAACCGAAACCGGTACAGTCCACTTTCGGGTTGGGACCGAAAACCCGAACCCGGTGAGGCTGATTACCGGTTCGGTTTCGGGTTTAACCGAAAACCCGAACCCGCTTTGACACCCCTATCTATGACTTGTGTTCATCCTTTCGGTCTAATCCACAGACCGTGTCTATGGTATGGTATGGTGCGCACCGTTTACATTACTACTGATCCTTGCAAGTTGCAAATAAATATTGGATGGAAGAAGCATCGGTGTCTTTGGTGGATAAATCCCTTAAAAGTAAGGAAATAAAGGGATTGAACTAAATCAAAATAAATAGAATTGTTAACTAGTTATGATACTCTATCTTCCACCCAGATCAGTCTTGTTCACCCCTACTTCACACACACGTATAAGGACAGTATACGGCAAAAGCCTCCTTGAACAGGGCGGAAATGGCTCTTTAATCTTTATCCCTCTCCCATTCTCTCTCTCTCTCTCTCTCTCTACATTTCCAAAAGATAACCAAATTTTATGCAGTATATCTCTTCTACTCAGTATGTTGCTACAAGTGCACAGACGAACCAAGCTTTCGTAAACAATGATTCGTTTCTTGAATTCCCAGTCCCATTCGTCCATAATGCCTGCCATCACTACGAGTTCAGAACATGCTGGCCATTTATTTTGGGGGAGCATAACCAAGTTCTGATGAACCTCCCTAGTACATTGCGATGCCTTGGCAGCAGCAAAATTGATGAATACTCCATCCTGCAACAACTTGACTGTACATTGCCACTTATTCAAACTCCAAGGCCTTTATCGCGTGCGCCTCGAAGATTCTTCACTGCACCTTGCTATCTTCAAAAGTACTCCCCCAACATACATTCACATATAGGGAACTACTAGAAACCGAAATATCCAAGACTGGAAGTTAGTACCTTCAGCTGGCTGTGGAATCCCTCCCTGAATGCTCAATCATGAACAAACCCTCTAGAGCTAGAGCTCTTAATGGAGTTCTTCCCCTTTTTCCAAGCAAGCTCTTGCTGACCTGGCATTCGAACCAGCCGGAACTTGAACACGAGCTTACCGTTAGGTCCTGTCTCCTGCCAATACTCCTCCACGGTATACAAACCATCATAGACATAAATCCTACCTCTAGCATCAACATTTGTACTGTTAGTCCCACGAATCACTCTCACAGGATTCTTCACTGCAATGCTAGTCTTCAAAGCAAGATTACCTCTCTCAAGCTTCTGATCTTCAGCTTCCTTCTCTTTAGTTGAGTTCCCTCCCTGACCTGTATACTCGAGCACGTCCGAGTTATCCACGTTATCATCATATCCACCCGACGCCACGATGCTTGTTGCTATGATACCCTGATTATGCTTCGTATAATCGATCCCGCCTTGAGTCGGGCGATGAAGGCCGATGACGTTGAGCTCCAGCCTGTACTGGAACTTGTCACCAATCTCGACTCCCGGGACAGCTCCAATGATATGCTTCCCAACATTGAGGCACATTCCTCTGGATTTAAGCTCTTTTGAGGCGAGAAAATCCACTCTTTTGGCATTACCACCTTTGGGCTTTGATCCCTCATCATGTAACAACTTCCTGCATAGGAAGTGGAAAGTATCTAGTACTTCCTTCACTTTCTTTCTGTCCTTATCTAACTCTGTTGAAGTTCCAGGCCCAGCAGAAGTTAAGCTCACACTCTTACCGGTCCCCCTCCTCGCAAATTCATAATCATCACCATTGTCAACATCATCAAGTTCTTGTTCCTGGTCATCCTCCTTTGCCAAAGAATCTGATTTCTTACTCTCTCTAGATACAACTTCCTTTTTACGATAACTTTCATCAACACGCGAGTTACTAGAGCTAGGTGCTCCTTTACCCTTGGACATCATCTTCTCAGAGACTGAGCTGTACTTTTGGGGAGGAACCGCTTTCGGATTCTTGGTAATCCCATTCCCACTAAACTGTTTCGCCTTCGTTTCAATCTTGACCCGCTCTGGGATATTGCTGCTGAACCTTCTCCCACTTAGAGCTCCACCATCCATATAAACATCCTTAACCCCTTCAGCTTCTCTTCTCACCTTCTCTGACAATGGCATACGATTTTCCTCTTCAGTTTCATCCACGGTGTCTCCTTCTACCTTGCTAGGAGGCTGAGCATTTCTTCCACAATTCGGAGGGAAGTGCCTAACACACGAAACCTTCCTCCTCGGTGGATACTTGGGACCTACCACCGCAGGCTTCACATTATCTTCCTTCTCCTCAAGAGCATCATCGCTCTGATCAACGAAACCCTCATTTCCAACTTTGACATCGGTCTTCTCCAATTCTACAGAATCATCCACAACAGCAACGCCATTCAAGACCTCCACTTCATCCTCCAGCTTCGTATCCAATCCACCATTGCTACTAGAGTCCGTTCCACCATGAGACTCGATCTCAACCGAGTTACCTGGTGGTGGTACTGCTGAGCGAAACTCCGGCCCACAATTAGGCGGCCAATGCCGAATCGCTGAGACCTTACGCCGCTTGTACTTAGTCTTCCCTGATTCCACCGGTTTCTCCTCCGGATGAGCCTTGCCGCCGCTCGACGGCGAGGAGACCACGTTCGTCGACTTTGCTAGCACCGGATTCTCCACGAACCCCATTTCAAAGCTCATCAACCGAATCTCCCCGATCTGAACACGAGCTGGAAATTACGATTCAAAGGATTGCTTCGGTAGGATTAAAAATGGAGGAATCGATATGGGATTCAGAAGCGGAACCGGAATTTTACCTGTTTGGAATGAACGGATGAGCGAAGGTGAAGGAAAGGGACGGCGGGAAGGCGCTGCCGTGCCGGGGGAGTGGTATGGTCTTCAGGGGAATTCCTTTCGTTGCATTTTCGCGCGGGTTGAGGAGATTAGATTATCTGGTGATTGTCTTCTTCATTTCTCTTCCTTTCCGATGAGCTGCAGGGCGAGCGGGTTCTTTACTCTCTCTGGTGGGAGAGAAAAAGGAAAGTGGGTGAAACCGTTTTTCAGACCACCCCGAAATAGCTGAAATAGTAACTGCTGAGATGAACGAAAAGTTGGTGTATTGCTACAGTCATTCATTGGAAAAAATCCCACTATACACATGTTTTTAAAAAAAATTCTCAAAATACACATGTTATGAAAAAAATTCCCAATCTACGCATGTTTGGGCCTTCACCGCGTCTGACAAAGGCGGTGATTGAATCACCGCGTTAGACGAAAACGGTGATTGCATCACCGCCTTAGACAAAAACGGTGATTGCATCACCGCTGTAGAGAAACGCGGTGAATGCATCACCGCGTTAGAGGAAAACGGTGAAGGCCTGGTGAAGGCCTGACCTACGTCAAATCTTTAAAAAAACGTAACTTTTTGCTCGGTTATCCGATCGTGATGAAATTTTTTTTGATTCCGCATAATTTTTCGAGATCTTGCAAGCCGCAAACAGCCGTAGGCGGTTTGGTCCCGCCTTCGTCCCGAAAAAACGTCGTTTGCTACCCCTAACGAGCCTTTTTTCGATTTCGTCAAACTTTGGACGACCATAACTTTGTGCTCCACAATCCGAAAATCATGAAATTTTTTTTGATTTTGCATAACTTTTTGAGGACTACAATTTTTAGTAGGAATCCAAGTACATTCCGAAATTATGTCTATGATAAAAATGAATTATTTTGGATATACAGGGTTTTGAGAATAAGTTTACCTTTCCTTTTTAGGAATCCAAGTACATTCCGAAATTATGTCTATGATAAAAATTGTAGTCCTCAAAAAGTTATGCAAAATCAAAAAAAATTTCATGATTTTCGGATTGTGGAGCACAAAGTTATGGTCGTCCAAAGTTTGACGAAATCGAAAAAAGGCTCGTTCGGGGTAGCAAACGACGTTTTTTCGGGACGAAGGCGGGACCAAACCGCCTACGGCCGTTTGCGGCTTGCAAGATCTCGAAAATCTATGTGGAATCAAAAAAAATTTCACCACGATCGGATAACCGAGCACAAAGTTACGTTTTTTTAAAGATTCGACGCAGGTCAGGCCTTCACCGCGGCCGTCGAACGCGGTGAAGCTATCACCGTTTTTGTCTACAGCGGTGATGCAATTACCGTTTTTCTCTAACGCGGTGATTGCATCACCGCCCTTGTTTAACGCGGTGAAGCAATCACCGCCTTAGTCTGACGCGGTGAAGACCCAAACATGCGTAGTTTGGAAATTTTTTTCATAACATGTGTATTTTGAGAATTTTTTTTTAAAACATGTGTACAGTGGGAAATTTTCCTCATTCATTTCGGATGGCATAATAGTCCGGTAATTGTTATTCGGATTTTTTTTATCATTGTTATTCAGATATTTGGATATGATAATAAACAAGAAAATATGTGAGTTTTTTGTGAAAATTGTTTATAATTTTTCTATATTTTATTTATTTTTAACTTGATTTATGAGTAAAGAATGCATGGAGTAGTAGTAACTCTAGATTATATTGTTATATTATCTATATAAAGATGATTAGAATTTTAAATTTCATTCTTAAAATCTACATTTAGTTGCTGTAAATCGTATACATCCAAAAATAAATAAAAAATGTATCGTAAACACACTAAAAAACGTAAAAAGAAAGTAAAACATGTTCTTATTGACAAAATTACTAGTCGGATGCAGGGATGGATATGATTATAGTCCAATTCACTTGGGGCAGATGCGCAGAGCTAATGGTAAATTCGACTAGGTAGCAAAATCTCTATTCTTTCATTCCATTGTACCATTTAGTATTCATTTAATCGTACTCAAATTAGAGAAAATAGTAAGAGCATCTCCATTGGTCTTAAATCTCCAATTACAAAGGATGATATAGCATGAGTTTTTACTGTTGCAAACTCAAATGAATGATTTGCAATCTTGCAACAGAGAAAATAGTAATAGCATTCATATTGATCTTGCGTTTCCTATTACAGTTACAAATACGATATGATATGAGTTTCTACGGTTACAAATTCAATTGCATTATTTGCGACCTTGCAACAAATGAAATGCTAAAAGAAGCGGATTGAATTGCATTGATATAGGAAGGATATTTAGCCATATGTGAATTGCATTGCATTGATATAATAACTGTAATTAAATTAACAGATTGCAAAATTGTTCAGGTGGATATGCTAACACTACTACTAAATAATCAGCACCAACTACCGAGGAGAGCTTCCCATCAGAGAGACAGAGACCCTGCATTCAAATCTGTGGCTCTACCGCTCCACACCAACCAGAATGCATCTTACATTCAACCAAATTATTGGAAAACAAACCCTACCAGTTAACAAGTACCCGGCAACAAGCTGACAAGTTTCAGCAATGAGTTTCGACATTTCCAGCAAACCCTGGGATTCAATCTAAGATTCTTACTGTGGCTTTCTATTTGCCCCTGATTTTAATTGTCAGTGTCCAGTTAACCTTTCCATCGGGCAAAGGAATGGACCTAGGCAAACGCAAAGGCACCTCAAACTCCCCAAATGTTGTCAATGGCGTCGGCAGATGAAGGTTGTCTGGATCGATAAGCACGTTAAGCTGCCTTGCAGCCTGCAAAATTCAAACAGCATTGGCATGGTCACTGCATATGGAGCAGCACCGAAAGTTCTGTTAACCTGAAAGATGTTTGTTTGGTTTGTACCTCTTTCACAATGTCATCCTTTGTCACTGGCGAGAGAATCACTACGGGTTCATCCTTTGAGGCACGGGCTCGGAACTTCTCTGCATCAATCCCCACTCTAAATGTCTGCACACAACCAGTTAACAGAAAGAAAGAATATGATGAACAACATATTACACACTCTCCCATTGCAATGGTGTCAAGAGCTTCGAAAGATTCAAAGGCAGAACATATACCACGCGCGATTTATCCAAGCGCTTTGCAGCTGTTTCGAACTCTTTCATCCTATCTTCCTTGGTCTCGTCGACCACCTTCTTAACCTCTTCTTCCTCCTCTTGCTGGTACAACTGGAAAGCAAAATTAGAGCAAAGTAAGCATTGGTTCGGTGAAAGCCTTTGCAATCGTCTAGTTTCGACAGTTACGGCAGAGAAAAGGTAGAATCTATGGAGTATAAGAACCTTGCGCTGCTCGGTGATTAGATGAGCAAACTTGTCGAGATTAGGGACGGCTAGCAATTTCGGCATCAGGTGGTTGCGGAAGTATCCAGGTGCAACCTTCACTGTTTCACCTGCTTTACCAAGCTTGTCTATGTTCTGGAGGAAAAAAAAGATTCAGACTTTCACACCATCAGCACCAAATGAAAGATTCCCAAAAGCTCAATCAAGCCAATGGGTTAGAGAAAGCTGAACTCACCGTCGTTAGGATAACCTCTAGCTTCCTAAATCGAACTCCTTGACAAGCATACAGCAACGGCGGTAACGATGAATCGGACGAGCTCCTCCTAACATTAGTTTCTCTAAGGATTTGACGCAGGGCATTTCTGCCGTGTTGTAGATAAGCCATTTGGGTCTAAACTATCACAAGAAAGTAATTCACCCAGATAAGCCACTGAAACCAATCGAAAACCAGAGACAAAAGGAGTACAAAGTAGAAGAAAACATCTACCCGATGGATTAGCCTTTTCCTTTTTCCCCGGTTAATTACGGATATGAACAGAAACGGAGGTCGTCGGCGGGAGCAGTGAATGCCAGTGTCGACTCCTGCAGCAGGGATGAGGAAGGATTCGACGGCGGTGTTGACTGGAAGCTGCCGGCGATGAAGAGCGGCGTCCCTTCTCCTCCTTCACTTTCGAAACCCTTGTTCCAGAACTGCCATCGATATTAGAGAGTTTCTCTTTCTCGACCGGACTCGGTTCAAAAGTCCAGTTGAATCCAGAAAAGGTCTTGGGCGGTTGGGCTTGTTGTCCAATGGGACTTGCAATGGAATCAAATCCACTGAACCTATTGGGCCTTCAGGCTTATAGCCCATGTTCCAGCTCGTGCAAGAAAATTTGCTTGAAGTTTGAGGTATAATTGTATATAAATCAAAGATCTTCAAACGAAAGTCATACATCATGTACTTACCGTTAGGAGTGGAAATCGGTATGTACCAATACCAAATATCGAAATCCCGAATACCGAATTACACTCTAGAATCAATCTCAATCCCTAAATAATTTCGGTATCTCAATCCCAAACCCTAAATATTTCGGTATCCCAATCGGTACTTCGGTATCCCAATCGGTATTATTGAATACGGAATTAATTACCTTTATAATTACTATTAAATATATAAATTAGATTTGATTGTTTAATATAGGTTAAACAAATAATTTTGAGTTTGGCTAGAGCTAGGATATGGATAAAGAGAATGGAGTAGAGGTGGCATCTCAAGTTTTTGTCATTGGTAATCTTTAATTTGACGAATTGGAGGCTGGGAGAAGACTATTACTAGTGTTTGCTTTTAGGTGTTATGAAAATAACAATATATTGGTGGTTGAGGGTAGTGTAGTATTGAACGAGAGAGTCTAATTGAGAGGATAAAATACACACTAGTTTATATTTCGGTATTGTTCGATATTTTGGTATATACCGATCCCAATCCTGTAATCCCTAATACCGAATAACAATTGAAATTGAATTCCAATTCCAATCCCAAGAAATAATACGTGTATTCGGTAATACCAAATATAGACAAATTCGATATGGTATTCGGTATATCCCAAATACCGGTGCTAAACTTCCAGCCCTACTTACCGTGACCGAACATAAGATCTTTCAATTACATAATACTCTAATATCATATCATAACTGGAGAAATTCAATAATTCATCTTATACCATATAATAACAACATTGGCATCTAAAATTATTGAAATGAAAATTGTGGTCATGTCTCACCAACCCAATAATGTTCTATAAGATTGTCAAACATGTTTGGTATTTTCTTTTACTATTAAAACATCAAATATCATCATACATACCTCATCATTTCAACATTAATAGAAACGGAATTATGTAGCAAAAAAAAAAAATTGGAATGAACGAAAGTAATAAAAAAAAAAACATGAAATTTCACCAGAAAATTCTTTCATACTCCTTATATGCTTTAAACTGCAAGTCACATTTTCATCGTTCCGACTTTCTTAATCAACAAATATTGTTACATGAGTAAATCACGCTAATATTCCTTGATCACCCCATTTTCACCCAAGTGTCAAGTGTTATTGCACTACACCAAAAATGAAATTGGACAAATAAAAACAGTTTAACCAGAGACATGACAGTAAGACACAACCATTGCGTGTAATTGGATGCAATATGTTGTTCAACGGCGAAGACCTAACAGTATAACACAACCACCATTGCGCACAACAAAGTCAACAACAAAGGCACAACACAACTACCCGCTTGGACTTGGGATGCAAGACATTGTACAGCAACAGAACATAGCTTTTATTTTCAACTTTTAGATGCAGAAGCAAGCAGTTCTCAGGCCACAGTCCTGGCTCGAATTGAAGCAGTCCTTTTCAATGTTGATGGAACTCTATGCGATTCTGATCCAATTGATTGTCGTGCCTATGTTCGAGTGCTTCAAGCGGTATTTCTTTTGGATCATTATGAGATTTTGGTTATAAGTAGTTATCAAACATGTCGTTTCATTATTTTATAAATAAAATATATGCATGGATTTTTAAAAAAAAATTATAAAACTTGTCATCTTGTTGAAATTTTCATAAAAAAACCAGTCAACTAAGATTGAATTTTGGTTTGTGCGACGTAAATGTTTAAAATATCTCTAATAACTTCACTTTAACATTTGTTTCTTCTTTTGTATAGCCCAATGCTCCTACTAATTTCACTTGAATGAAAGTTAATTAGAGAAATAAATGAAGGAAAAAACTTACATTTTTCCTTCCATTTTGTCGGGCTCATTTCTTCCGAACCACGATTTGACCGTGTTGACGATTATTGGATGGAAATTTCGAAAAAAGGATATGTTTGATAATTTTAACAAAAGTATGTTCAATGTAACAAATAATATAAATGTGTTGGATAAAAATGCATAATGGATGCATATTACACCTATAGCCTTTCTCTTATAATAAAGGTGCGTTCGGATCTACAATAGCGTTGACCATCACTTCTGTCCAATGGTAGCTAGCTAGGGGTGTTCAAACGGTGTGGTTACCGTGGTAACCATATTAACCAGTAGTATTTGGCTAATTTGGTTTGGTTAATTTCGATAATTGGTTTGGTTTGGCTAAAAAATTTAGCTTGTTTGGTTCAGGTGATTTGGTTTGGTTTCAGGCACTCCTAACCAATCAAACCAAATTAACCAGTTAAGTAATTAGCCATATATATAATATATATTATATACACATACTTAATACTTTGCATAACCACTCAAGAGTCAAATGTAAGATAATTGTATTTGTTACATGTATTTACGTTAAGGGTTAACTACAATTATGTGGATTGTTATGTGTTGTTCATTATATAAATTGTGAATTGATGCACTAACTGAAAAATTTTCTCACTTAGTGATAATGTGGTGTTATATTGGTTATTTTGGTTAACCAATTAACCAAACCGAATAAACTTTAGTTTGGTTAATTTGGTTGTTGTATTAGTTTGGATGGTTTGGTTATGATATTGTATTCCATGATTAATAAAATTTAGCCTTATTTGGTTTGGTTATTACCATGGTAACCATTTGAACACCCCTAGCTAGCTAATGTTTTTGCTGCAGTTTTATACTATTAAATTATGTAGTAACATGACTTATAAATTATAATAATGCATAATTGCATAGTTACTATGCTATTGAGCATATCCCAAACAGCGGATAATCAAGAACTTGACAAAACTCTGCCCAACTCACCTGCTCACAGCCTCCTAGAAAAGTTTATTGCAAAAATATTCAAAAAATATTATTATGTTATTAATAATTAATATGTTTGAAATTTACAATGTTATTTGAGATGATTAGAAGAACTGAAATTTGGTATGTTATAGGGTGGCTATTTGTTCTGGGTGTTTTGTTTTACCTGAAATTGGATCGTATAACATGGACCGACACCGGATAACAAACAATTCAATCCCATCTTCGGGCTTAGATTTGAGATAAAAAACAATTCGAGACCGGACCGAAAACCGGATAAAGACTGGATAAGAGAGCCCAACACCCAAAACTTAACCAACTACTCACCTTTGAGACCTCAGGCCACTCAAATCACCACAAGCTCAATCTAAAATCAAGATCGAATTAGGACCGGACCGGGTCAAGACCGGACTGTATCAAATCCAATCATTGGTCCTTATATTCCCCAAAATACTGAACCGAAACCAGATCAATTTGGGCCAATTAAACCGGACCGGACCGTATAGCCACCCCAGTATGTTCAATATAAATAAGCCAATTAGAAACAAAGAAAACTGATTATCCTTTTCAATTTATACCATGTTATTCACGGATAAAAAACATGAATGTTCATAAGTAGTAATAAGTACCAATATTTCAAAAATAAAATAATTCATTATATATATATTAAAAATCGTTCTTAAAATTATGAAACTAAAAATTGAAGAATTTAATTTATCTAGTTCTAAATTATAGAGGACCTAAGAAAGTAAATTATGGACATTAAGTGGCTAGATTGAGTTTCGAACTAAAAGTAAACTGAAAAGATAAAGAAAAAAAATGCATTCATGCCACTTTGAAATGAACGCTGAGCATGTCCACCTCAAACACGCAACATATCAACGGGAAAAGTTAATCTACTAACCTCAACCTAGTTATTCTGCTAACTTGAAGATTCGTTAGTATATACTAACTAATATCCAAAATGTATAAACTAATATCGAAGTCTGTTAAGTATTTAGATAACAAAGACTATTATTCAAAACATCACAAACTAGTATCCAGATAGCAGATATCAACTAATATCCACAATCAACCAACTAGTATTCAATATGAATACTCTTATGGGCTATCTTGATACTTTTATGTGTTATCTGCTTGGATACTATTCTGTGTTGTCTAGATATCAGTTTGTGAATTTGGGATAATAATTGATTCATGGTGGATATCAGTTAGCAAATTTTGAATACTAGTTTGTGCTCTCTAGATACTTTAGTACTTGGATATTAGTTCATCTATTTTGGGTATCAGTTAGTATCTGCTAACGAATCTTCAGGTTAGCACAGCCTAGTTATTATGCTAACGACATAAGTTGTTAGTATATACTAACTAATATCCAAAATGTATGAATTAGTATCCAAGTCCGTTGATTTTACTAAAGTATTTAGATATCACAGACTAGTATTCAACACACCACAAACTAGGATCCAGATAGCAGATACCAACTAATATCCACATTCAACCAACTAGTATTCAATATGGATACTCTTATATGTCATCTTGATACTCTTATGTGTTATCTGAATACTAATTATGTGCTGTATGGATACTATCATGTGTTGTCTATATATTAGTTTGTGAATTTGGGATAATAGTTGATTCATAGTGGATATCAGTTAGCAAATCTTGAATACTAGTATGTGCTCTCTAGATACTTTAATAATTGGATACTAGTTCATGTATTTTGGATATCAATTAGTATCTGCTAACGAATCTTCAAGTTAGCAGATTAACTTTTTCGATTATATTGATACAATATTGTAGACTTCAATTTTTTTATAATTATAATTAATATATATGTGAGATTGGTAATGACTGGTGTACGTCAGGCGTATAGTATACATAAGGTGATTTGACCGATAAATGTATCTCGATTAGTTCCGATTAAAATCAATGGTCAATTATTGTTTTATATCAAATTGAATTTAAGGGTTGAATTTTGAGAATCGAAACCTGAGATTTATTCATTAGATATTAGGGTATAGTATCATACCCAAATTGAACTAGTAATACCTGGCTAGCGTACCAATGTGAGATTCAAAACTTCCGATATATTTAGACGATATGTTCAAAATTATCGTGGTAGCTCTGCCCGGTAGCCTTGGACTTTAGGCTTGTTGTGCCTTTCGAGGATTTCTCATATTAACCCACACACATGTGTAATTGGCTTCTGTTGGTGATTTGATTTCAGGTGGTAAATTGACAAGTAATTTACTATCATAATCATCTTAATCATATTTCAAAAGAATCTTTAAATATGAATCATATATGTTATAGCCGCCAATAAAAAGTAATTGATTTGGCTCCTTATTCACGTTTTGTTTGTCTGGACATGGTGGACAAAGTCTCTATTGAGGTGGCGACAGTTCAATAATATACTAGCTTTGAACTCGTCCGCCGATCGAGTTCGTTCCATTTTTTATTTCACTAACCAATTACAATTATTTGTAATATATGTATTAGGAATAATTTGGGATCTCTTACATTGTAAAAACTCTTCCTAAGTGATTTGTATCCCCTCATTTGAAATCTCGATAAAGGTTTATGAAATCATGGCCTGATATAAGGTAATATTTCAACCATCCACTCAATATTTAGTTTTGATCTTGCTATGTAGGTAGTAAATTTGGTAAAGGATAAGTTTATTGTTCACAATGGATTTTAATTAATAGTGTCACCCTGCGGCCCATGATGTGGCAGTCCGCATGACATGGAAAATTACGTATGTACACCTATCGTTAGTTTGGGGGACGAAAATGGTAACTATGCAACCATAAGTTAACTTAAATGGTTTAGTTGCAACAAAATGCACTTAGTTGGTTAACGCACAACAAATAGTAAAATTAAGTGGCACATGGTGCGATTAACCCTTGTTATTTTTAATAAAGTTGAGAACTAATTCTACTTTTGTATAAATGAATTTCATAAATTTTGAGAAATTCATTTTGAAATAAAATATTTTTTTGTTTGGTATTTTAAAGAATTCATTTTCACTTCTAAATTTTGAAATATATGGAATTGGAACTACTTATAGCAATTCCGAGGAATTGAGATGGAATTTCCAAATGAATTCCACCAGTATTTACTAATTATAACAGACTGATATAATTATTCTCTTTTATTAACTAAATTACTTATACATATGACATACCAAACACAAGAATTCATTTGACGACTAATTATAGACGGCAATTCATTTTTATTTCTAAAGATTTGAATATAACCTATCAAACACAAGATTTCATTTGAAAATGAATTCTACCTAGTAATTCATTTTACAATGAAATCTTCTAGTAATTCATTTTACAATGAAATGAATTCTCGATTCATTTGGTACCAAACGGTCTGTAACCGTCCTAGGAGAGAAAGGTAAAAAAAATAAGTAAAAGAGAATAAAGAAAAATACTTTAAATAGCATGAAAAAATAAAATAAAAAGCGGTAACCACAAACACACAATCCATAAGAGCATCTAAATTGGTCTTACACTTCCAATTGTTAGATGACATGAGATGAGTTCTTAAAATTACAAAACCATTTGCAATAATAGGACTACCCATCACATATTTGCAAGTTTGGAACACATGTAATTTTATATGAAAGCCAAAATGATCTAAGAAATGAGGATTGAGTAAACTACCAAAATTCAAATCCTCCAAACTTAGTTATCCACTCCTTCTACCTCTTTCAAGACTTTTATGCTCAATTGATTAAAGTAGTTCATAGTATCAGCCATGATGTAGCAACCCTAATAGAAATATTTTTTTTTAAAAAAGTTTGCTAGGGATTAACAATTTGAAATTGATAACATGAGAAATTTCTTGGAAATGAAGGAATTGGTAAGTTGACATTTATCAGGCAACTCGTACACAAATTCAACGGAAAAAGAGCAGTGAAAATATTAATATATATTGCTAGTGGATGGAAAATATGGATTAAGCTATGAATAATTTTATTATGAAAAAACTATTAGGGGTTGAATTCTGTAATCTTAGATAGTAGTTGAATATTTCTCAAATCTCAACTATGATTAGTTAGTTAGTTTTATAACAAGTGCAACAAAGAATATCCCTATCTTATACTAACAAGAATCTTTCTTTATGTTCCATAAAACAAAAAGAATATTTCCTTAAGGCCAAGGGCATTTTCACCCATATGCCACCAAACAGTTTTAGATTAGAAAATTATTTGTCACTACTATAACACACAACCGTTTTCCTTAAGTTTGATGTAGAATCGTGGTTGGTTGATGAATTTATGTACAGTTAATCTATTGTTAACAACTCGTATATAATTGATTTTTTTTCTTTTCTCAATTTGGTTGATAGTATTAATTTGCACTCTTATTTTCAACAATGTCATCTTGACTACTAAATGTGTGAGTAAAAAAGCACATGTTTGGACGGAATTTTTACTATTAGGAGAAAAACAGAATAAATAAATAAATACTTGAAGAAATAAAACTAAGAGGGTGGCAATAAGATAGGGACTAAGAGTGAACTTTCTGTAAAATTGAGGTGCAATTATGAGAATTTCCGTCATGTGGCCCAAAATGCCTCAAGAACGTGTTAGTACAAAAGACTAATGGCGGAAGCGGACACTTGTGATTCACTGATTTGCCTAATTGCCTATAAATGTCTGAGAGTCCAGTACCCATCTTCAGTCATTCTTCCGCCATTGATCGATTCGATTCAATTCGATTCCTTGGTATCAGATCATTCTTTCATCCTCCTTCTTCCCGCGTCGGATCACAGCCATTTCCAACCATCGCTTCTCCGAATCCATCCCATTTCCCCTGAAAAACTCTCTGAACCACCACCGTGATTCTTCGGAAACATGACCGGCACCGCTGATACGTGAGTCCCCCGATCTCAATTCGTTCTAATACCTTTTTGGGTTCTCCGATCGCATATCTCTTGTGGATTTTCTGGGTTTTGCTTGTTTTGCTACTGCAACGCCATGATTTTTTCTCCCTTAAATCAATCACCTGTCTAATTGATATGCATGCCATGCGCTTTCAGTTTTCTGGGTATTAGGTGAAGCTCTGTGAAATTTCAACAATGGCGGAGAACTGGTTATCTTTTTGATTTTATCCTAGATTGAAAATGAGAGTCTAGGGATCGATATATTATGAAATGTATGTATGCTTGGTGCTGAAATTTTGTGATGTTTGTTGTTACACTGATCCTGCCCTGTCCACCCCATTTTAAAGCCATCTTGGTTCTTCATGCTACACATTTCAGCATTTGAAAAGGTCAGTGGTTTGGGGAGAGAGAACACTCTTAAGACCATTTTTTTTACCATTGCTGTCAAACTGGTGCCCTTTTGAAAAGAAACTATTCCAACTGTTAGCAGGCTGAGAACTAGGTGGAGGATCTCATGAAATTTTATAGGTGAGCTAAGGAAATTAGTGAACTTGTGTCTTTCGTCCACATCTTTGATGGGTTTGCAACAAATTTGGATTTTGGTTTGTCTGTATTTACAAGGTGAACCTTCAAAATGGGGGAGTTCATGTGTTATACTTCCAGTAGGTGTTACTCCATTGCATAAAAGGCCACTTTAGATTTATACTGCTTTGAGAGCTCTCATCTGCCAAGGCTAACTACAACATGGCATTTGTATTAAGACTATTTGGGAGAAACCATATATGCTTGTGGAGAAGGTAGCTTCAAATTGGTAACATGTAGTGAAACATAAAGTATGCCTAAGGCCAGCTCATTTCAGTTATTCCGATTCTCTTCAATAAGCTTAGACAACGAATGAGCTGTTTATGTTTCTATTTCTTTATGTTCTTTAGCTCAGCTTATCTATGGTGACCATACTCTCCACTTACAGCTTCTTTTCCCCAACTTTTAAATGCAGTAGCAGTTCTCTCGCCAAACTCGCCCCAATTCAAGCTGTCCTTTTCGATGTTGATGGAACTCTATGTGACACAGATCCAATTCATCATCGCGCCTTTGTTGACCTGCTTCAGGAGGTATCACCTTGATTCATTCTCCGTTTTTATCTTCTTAAAAGGACAATTTGGATCTACAGGGTTGACCATTTCTGTTTAATGATAGCTAGTATCAGTTGATTAACATGTTAGTTGGAATATATAATTGCTCTAGTTCGTATAAGTCATTGGCTCAAGGACTTAAACTAATTTCACTATTATGCTGCTCAATAGATCAACTACAACAATGGGGAACCAATATCAGAGGACTTTTTCATCAAGAATATTGCTGGAAAGCACAATGAGGAAATTGCAGAACTCTTTTTCCCAGATGACATACCTCGAGGCATAAAGTTTATGGTGGACAAGGAAACCTATTTCCGGAAGTATGATAAAGCTCCTTCCTTCTCCTCTAAATATGAATTCTCTCACATGAAAGGATTCCTTTCACAGTATGATGCACTTACAGTTTTATGTTTCAAAACAAACTCAGATTGGCAGCTGAGCACATTACAGCAATAGAAGGCCTCTACAAAGTGACGAAGTGGATCGAAGATCATGGCTTGAAACGCGCTGCAGTCACCAACGCTCCAAAACCCAATGCTGAGCTCATGATCGCGAAACTTGGGCTAACAGATTTCTTCCAGGCTGTCATTCTGGGAGACGACTGTGAGCATGCTAAGCCACACCCTGAACCTTACCAGAAAGCACTAGAGGTGCTCCAAGTGTCGAAGGAGCACACATTCGTGTTTGAGGTCTCTCTTAACTTCTCCTTTTGCTTTATTTACATTCTGCTTGTTCCTCCAAAACCTTGGAAAATTTTCTGATGAATGCTGTTGGGACAGGATTCTGTATCTGGAATTAAAGCTGGAGTTGCAGCTGGAATGCCGGTTATCGGTATAACCACGAGGAACCCTGAGGATATGTTGATGCAAGCTAAGCCTACATTTCTGATCAAGAACTATGCCGACCCCAAATTGTGGGCTGCTCTTGAAGAAGTTGATAAAGCCATGGGAGCTGGTAATGGAGCTTCAACTTGAAGAGGGAGGGACTGATATTGTTAGCAATCATATGATCAGCATTCAATAGTACTGTTACTTTCATTTGACCATAGCCCTGCCATGCAAGCCCAGATACATTATTGATTACTTGAAAGAATGAATGTCGAAACTGGCTTCTAGCCAAAATTATTGTTAAAAGTGGTTATTTCAACTTCAATGTAATAAATTTATGGCTTGGTTATTTCTTAGTTACATCTGTGATTCTTGATTACATCTGCTCTCAAGAACTCTGCCCTCGAAAGAATGGCCAAACCAAAGAACTCAGCCCTCGAAATGCAAGAACGAAACCATAACAAAACAGATTAATGGCTGAACGGACACAACCACCACGCGGTTGCCAACCCCCAATGATCACTGGTACATAAATTAGTTTGGAAACAGTGGACTTGATCATCAGGAACAATGACGAAATCTTTTCCTCCGACCATTACTGTCAGTTTATTCACACAAAAAAAAGACCATTACGTCAGACTAGACATATGCTTGAAGAGGAAAATACGTGGTTGAAAATTTGATGCATTTTATCAAATACTGGTTCACTAAGGAAACCTACTGCCGATAGGCTTCTAGCCAAATGATAAAATGCCATTCAATTTCTGGCTTGTGAATCTCTTTTGGTACCTCTCTGCGATTTGCATATCTATCTACTTGGAAACAATGGATTAAACCTAAAAGAATGCCTTAAGAACTCTACCCTAGAAATGAATGAACCAGAGAGGAACAGAGCAAGAGGATATGTGCAAAGCTAAGACGAGAAAAGAATCGGCCCAAAGTAGCTAATCTGATTTGCATTATGATCTTTCTTTCTCCCATCTCCAAGCTACCTCTGAAGTCAATTCATTCAGACCGCAAAACCCAATCTATCTCATCCCTTGCTGATTGGTATAGCTCCAGCCTCCTGCTGAACCTCTGCCTTCTTTCCATCAATAATGGGTCTTCATTCAACAGTGCTCCAAGCTGCTTGCTCTGGAGGATCATAGCAAGCAGGAAAGCGAAAATGGAGTCACTCAAATGTCTAGTTTACGTTCTGAATATGCATTTCTTGAATAAACAGATCTCGAATAAGCAGAGGCATGTGTTCCATTTCCAAGATCAATTTGCAACCACCCAAGGAACTACATTCCTGATTCCTGAATGTTTCAGTCCAGCGATCAAGCATCATTTTTATCCATCAAGTGGCAAACAAGTAGACCAGATCATAGTAAGTCTGATCATTTCGAGTAGCAGGGCATGCTAGGATTGTTCATTATCTATGGGTATCGGCCCGGACCACAATTCGATTTTGATTCTAAGCTAAACTGAACTGGAACCAGAACAGACTGACTGAACTGATTCGCATCCATTTTGATCTGATCGTATTCATTATTTTCCCTCATTCTAAGTTGGTCACACACCAATTCAGTTCAATTTCCAGGCTCGATCATCCCCACCCCTAGTACAAAGTTGATTGAAAGACTGGGTCAAACAGCCAAGGTCATATTCAGATCACGTGTCGCTTTGGACGAATCAGATTCCTGACTACCTAATAGGAAACATAGACACAAAACAGAAAGCAAGGAGCTACTGGCTAGGGAGGAAGTTGATTACTTACATTTCTTCGGCCCAATTGGATGTAGAAGTGATCGAGCAGCGACCGGCCAGCTTCCCTCACTTGACAATGGACCACGGCTTTAGGAATGGTGTACCTCAAGTTCTCAGCCACCATGGCAACATAGGACGAGACATTCGATCCTATTCTGCGGAAGTGCCCTTCGGAGTAACGGTCTGTAGTCGAGGAAATGGGGCTTCCTGCACTGCCCCTTTCTGGCTCCATGGGTAGCTTTCTGAAGAAGTCCACAGTCAAGTATGAGGACTCCATCTCCACCAACCTTAGGGTCGTCTTCCTGCTATCTCCACGGAACCTCTCCAATGCATCGTAAGCTGCAGATGCAATTTCGTTCTGGAGTGCTGGGAACCGCTTCAGTTCCTGTAAAAAAATCAACAAGCTGGGAATTTCATTTGGTGTTTACGAAACCATAATGCCCCGGACTACGGTTTAAGATTCATCATAGAGTCGTGATAAACTGTAATCAATTCATGACCAAATCATATTGGTTCTTATTTCCTACTCGTGGTTCAACAATCTAGGCCGACCAATAGTAAATTTCAAAAATATGGGTCATAATCAATCCCCCATTGTCATGAAGAAACAAGAACAAGCTTCCATATTTCCATTACCTCAGTTTCTCTAATGGACCTCCGGACAAGCTCCTTCAAAATGGAGTGAATCTGGAGGACAAGTTTACAGGGCATTCAAAACCACCAGTCAGACCAGCTAAGGAGAAAAGGCATTACTTGTGAGCTAGGCTTTTGAAGGTTGCGTTCCCTTTGAGGCTGCACTATGCAAAAGCACTAGAATGCAATTAAATGAAAAGGATGTTCTTACAGCATCCACAGAAGCTGCGGCTGGTTCCTTGATGTAACTAAGTGCACCATCAATCAGGCGGCGATAGGCTTGCTCAGGAGCGATCAAATGAGGATGGTACCCATCCGCCTGTGACACAATTCTCTTTACATTCTGCAAAGACAAGTGCTGGTCGAATGGCAGTTTCCTCAAAGCAGCAGGAAGCTGGCTGTCAAAAACTGTGAATATTCGGTCACCACCAGGTCGCCTGAAAATTTGAGTGTGTAGCAGTTAACTGGCAGAATTGGTTGTGAGAAACACAGGTAACTCCACAACAAAAGAAAGGAAGAAAGTCAAAGCATACCCTCCATCCAAATGCTCCTTGAAAACTCGCTCAAAGGCACGACATAACTCTAGAATGGTGTACAATTGGGCCTAATATTAGAGGAAAATAGATTACTTCACCAGCATATAGATATTTATGAATAAAAAAGCACGCACAATTCACTCACAGCAGCATCCACCGCAACAGGATTCCCAATGTGTGACATTTCTCTCTCGAGTTCATCGATACTATGGTTGATTAGAGATGTGATAGCTGGTATGCGGGCCTTGATTTCAGCTTCCAAATGCTGAAACCACATGGAATCCACTCGGTGAATAGTTTTCGGACTAAAAGCAGATCATCATTCAAGTAAAATCTTTGCAACTATCATCTTAAGAAAGCATAACTCTCAAATAACATGTAGTATTCTACCAAAAGAAAACTGCACGCGGAACTGAAATATTTTAGGAAAAAGTAAAGAACATTTCATTAGACATCCAAGTGAGAGGAAAAACAGAACCTTTGACAGAAGCTTTGCAAGATATTCAGAGCCCATTCGGCCAGCTAGATGGCTATAGTCAAGACTAGTTGCAAAAAACTCGTGTTCCCTTTGTCGAGCAGCAACCATGTCTACTTTGTTATTGATATCAGCTTGTGAGCGATTCACAATTCCAACCCAAGGATGACGAAGCTGGTAAGCCCGTCCTTCAAGGATCTATCCAGTAAGCAGACAAAGTAACAACGAGATAGCATTATTGATGGATCAAGAACATGTTAAAAGTTTCAGAGAACAAGTAACATAACGTGGTTTAGTTGCCGGTGATCTTTGCTGAATCTTAAAATACATGTCAGCAGCACTTTAAGCTTGGCCAAGCATGACTATCCCAACATTGTATAAACAATTTGATGAGGACGAAGGAGCCTTACGTCAACAGCATTTGTTCCTTTATCCATCAAATCAAGCTTTGTCAATACCCCAAATGTCCTCTCCCCTGGCAGCAAAGAAAAATTAGTGAGGTAACATACAACAAAACAGTTTGCGTAAGTATATTTATGGGTAATCTAGAAGGAGGTCATACCCAATGGATCAACTTCTTTGGAGAGCTTTATAGCATCCGATGTAGCTATATCTTGATTGGCAGGAGTAATTGCCAGAATGATGCAATTTGGCTACATTTCAAATAAGCACAGCAAGATTACTTGAAAAGCTAACACTATTCGCACTGAATACATAGTAATATTCTAAAACCCTGATAGATTTTTGTTGCACGCATGAATGAGCTTGGTGTGGACAGAAAATGTTTAGGGCCAGTATACTATTACAACACATGAACATGATACCCATTTGGCGTTCATTTTTCAAATTGTATCCAAGAACCTCTGATGTTACCTTTAGAATGTATGAGCGAACCATACTTTCGATGTCCCTAACAATGGCCTCTGGCTGTCCCTCTGTCAATAACCAAACGCCTCACTCTCAATTCCAACAAGTCTTGAAAGAAACTAAATAATCAGTCAAACAAGGATGGAGGCAGCAGCCTACCTATAGCAACCTTTGTTAGACCGGGCAGATCTATGAGGGTCAGATTTACAACTGCATCCAAGAAAAAAGGAAAAGAAAAGGAGAAACCCAAAACAATGGAAGAGCATCAATCCTTTTACATCCCATTAACAAGTATAAGTAAAAAGAGCAAGAAGACTTGGCAGAATTCTTATTACCATTTGGGGAATAGATGGTTAGATGAATAGGAACAGGTGAAATGCGTCTGTTGGTTCCTGTCATTTTATCAGTTTCATCTTGAATCTCCTTCCTAACCATAGCTGATGAGCAAGAAAGGAGGCTGTTCAATATTACTACGGTAATGCAATAGATAAAAGGATATGCAAACAGAGATATAGATCCATCCATGCAAGTTATAAGCATGAATCACTCACAGAAATCCGTGAATCTCTGCTTTGGCAAATGAAGGAACTCTGCATAGTCCTCAACCCTTGGTTCTGTCTTGTGCAATTGCAGCACCAACGGCCTCCTTGTCACAATCCCTGTACATATATGCAATGCACAAACTTATAAGAAAACAGATATGGCTTACCATACTAAATTATGCATATCATTGAAGCCAATAGCAAGATTCCCAGTTAAAAATGAGTGAAAACACTCCACCCTAAGTTAGTATGCTTCCAATTTCCGGCAAAAGCAAGAAAATAAGGTGAAAACTGAAAAGTGGGAAACCTGTTTGGCTACCGAGAAAAAGGAATCATGGTGGGAAAACGACTCTCTTATCACTCTATACATATGAACTTAGCATGTATAAATAAATCTTGAAAAGGGTTGACTCCTGCTGAGTTGAATTCAATTCTTTAATCGCTATTTCTTTCCCTCTCGATTCTACTTCCATGGCCACTTTTGCTCTCCCAAGAACTGACAAACATTCCACCGCCCAAACGATAAACTAGGAGAAGCAAACAGAGGAAGAGAGAGGAAAGTAGGAAACCGAAACCTGATCCTCTGGGAAGAAAATCTCGGCCGACGATGCTCTCTAACACCGAAGACTTCCCAGAACTCTGATACACAAAAAATCCCGGCCAAAAAAAAAAAACCGGCAGTTAATCAGATAGAGTGAAATTACTGAATAACAAAACGAAGACAAGAGACTCAAACGAGGAGAGAGGGAGAGAGTTGGGATTAGACCTGACCGCCGACGACGACGACGGAAGGGAGGGACTCCCAGAGAGTAGGGACGGAAGAGAAGACGGAATCGCCGGCGGAGCCATAATCGCCGAGGAGAGTGCATGCGTTCTGCAGCCTATTCACGAGTCCGATCAAGCTCTCCATTGTCTTTGGGGAACGAGACAGCAGAAAAATGAAGAAGAAAGCGGAGAAGAGGAGGAAGAAGAGGGCGAGTGGAGCAATTTTCGCTTTTATTCCGTTTCGACGGTTTCTCACCGCGATTACTTCGGAGGAAATGGGGGGTTACGAGTTCGGCAGGAGGCGCGAGCACGCGCAGCACAGGGGTCGACTTTGTGGAGACTGGCTCAGTGGGCTGGCTGGCTTACTGCAGTGTGCGTTACTGCTACTGACTACTGAGCTTGAGCCAACGGGGAGGAATTTTGGAGACGACGACGTGGCATGAGACAAAAGGTTGGTGGGGGTCTCCTTCTCTGACTCTGTAGCTCCCGTTCGAAACTTTTGAAATTTGAATAATTTTTAAAATATTTTTTCTTTTACAATCTGGATTAGCAAAGTGGGTAGGGGTAGTAATCAATAGAGATGACAATGGGTCGAGTAAGAGGCGAATAGTGCATATTCGTTACCCTATCCAAAATAGTTTATGTGTTATCCATACTTATACCCACATAAGAAACGAGTAGAAAAGTCAAAAATATTTCAATACCCGTTCAGGTTTCGAGTATCCACGGTTATCCATGGATAATAATTTCTCTTTATAACTCCAACCAATATGTTAACATTCAAACGGATTCTCGCACTACATAAGAAGAAAATTAAGACAATAATTCACTAGAATGAACAAAATTAATTAAAACAACACAATCTCATGAAAATATTATATTTATATGCTAAATATAAAATATGTTAGAGAAAAATAATGATTATCTCTAGACAAATACATATGCATGTGTATATTCGGGCATGTTCGGGTTGGATAGTGAGAAAATCATGCTCATCCATTACCCTCAATATTCGGATTCGGGTTTTACCCGTACCCACTAAAAGTACTTCGAGTTTGGATTTTACCTACCCAATTAGGTCGTATTCGGGCGGATATCCACGGTTACGAATATCTTTGACATGCCTAGTAATCGGTTGGTTACCGATTAAAATGGTAACTAATTAATTAGTTAACGGTATACCGAAATTCGGTATGGGGATTCTGACAATCGAATCGATTTCTCTGTCGATTAACTGTCGGGGGGAAATCAACTGCCGCATCGATTGCCTCGATATGGGAAAATTAACCGGTGGGGGAAGAACCGCCGTTGTGGAAGTAGATTAGAAGAGATAGTTTGGCCGGAGAAGAAGGAGGATCGATGATTTGCTTGGCGAGGAAGAGGTGGAGAAATGTTTGGGAATGGAGTGCATGATTTAGTAGATCAATGAGTGTCATAAACAAGATGGTCCCAATAACTCGAGTTGTTGGGAGAAGGTTATGCTGGATCTTATATCACACTCTAACACGCCCCCTCAAACGAAAACCAACTCACGGGCTTGAAGTTTGCACAGGCTCACCATACCTTGTGCTTTAATCAAATGTTAATATTGGGGGTCGTGGAGATTCGAACACACGACCACTTGGTCAAACCAGCTCTGATACCATGTCGTAAACCAGTTGGTCCCAATAACTTGAGTTGTTGGGAGAAGGTTATGCTGGATCTTATACCACACTCTAACAATGAGGGAGGCTCTTTGATTGGATTAGAGTACCTAATTCAGGTTTGGGATGAGAATCGAGTTGAGAGGGAAGAGAGGCTCTTCGATTGGCTCTTGGAAGTTGATCGGAGAGGGAGGCAGACAAGGGGAGAGATCAGAGAAAAAAGAGAAGAGGTCGAGAAGTGACGGGGCGGCGGGGGGCGAATTATAATATGCGGTTATTCGGTATCATCAATTACCGCCAGTTACTAATCTGTGGGAATTCGGTATACCGAGAGAAGAAATTTCATTATCGCATACCGGTATGGCCGACTAACGGTTTAACCGATTACCGCCGGTTACCGGTTAAATCGTAAACCGGAAAACCGATTACCTTCCTAGTTAGGAAGACATCATAGGTGGCAAATGGAATAGATTAGTGGATTGGTGGATCCGGATCAAATGAATTGGTGGATTCATGAATTAATGGATTGATCCAGATGTCTAAATGACATCCAAATCTTGTACTGTTATGTAAATTTTGAAAAGATTAGATAGTAAAATTTAGGAGTGGGAATTCGGTTGCGGTTTTGCGGACCTCTAGCAGGAAGAATGTTGTTAATCCACTTCTGTATTATGTTTCACATGAAAAGTAATTCTCTATTATGATTCTTTCTCGAGTCTACCTTTCTGAAATAAGAAAAAGATTTCATTATGAAATTGTTAACTCCGATCAAATATAATTGTGGTTATCAACTGAAATGAAGTATCAATTTTGACCATACAAATTCCAAATCAACAGTGTCAACAGAAAGCACAATATATATATGCATATATTTGTTCAATAAACAATTACAAATTTGACCCACTCAAGTCCCAATTACAACAAACCAAACTGGCTTGTCTATTTAACAATCCACTCTCATACAGATATATACCTTTTATTTCAAATCCACACTTTGACGAATCACACATATTTTAACAACCACCCACACGACTCAAGATCCTCATCGATCCAATATTTCAAATCCACTCATTCGCAAATCTTAATCCTCCGGGACCATTCGCCACAGTTCAGGTCCTCGGAAAACCGACGGTATCTCTCGGCGACTTCTGCACGGCTCATGCGGCCATCTGATATGCACATTTGGCAGATTGGCCTTGAGAGCAGAGAGGTCGCGAGGAGGCAAGTTGGTGCATCCTCGAATATCCAATTCCTTCAAATGATGATCACCAGCTGCAGCAACAGGCAATGTCAGTCTCTCCAAAGATGTGCACCCCGCCAGAATTAACCTCTCCAAAGACTTCAACTCAGCAAGTCCTGGGATCTCACGCAGTCTCGGCATATTGCTTATGACTAGAAAAGCTAGCTTTTGCAGCTTTGAAAACGAGGGAAGTCTGTCTACGAACACCAGTTCAGACAACCTCAGCCTTTCCAGCTCTTCCAGACGCGCAATCCCCTCCAGTTGTGATTCCATTCCCTACGCATGCATGCACGTCAGAATTTATTATTTGGCTCGTCACACTCGGGGGCAGGGGCGGACCCACGGGGTTTTAGGGGTGTCCCCGGACACCCTTAAATTTCGGGAAAATGATTATCCAACCCCCGGTGATAATTTACGTATAGACAAAAATATATATATATATATATAATTGATAGTGAGGGACACCCCTGAAATTTGAAAAAATGATTATTCTACTGTCATTTGTGTATACAAATATAAATGGTAGGTTGGGTAATTCAAATCTAGAACACTATTATTATTAATAAACTTAATTTTCGTTGAGCTACAACTCATTTGTTGTTCGATTTTGAACAATGTGTAATAGTAAAAAGTCATTCACTATCTCTAATTGTTTCAATCTAAACTAATTTCAATCTACCCTTAATTTGTATTGATTTTATGATTGTATGGCAAGTGTTGAAGAGTCTTTCAGCTTTGGGTTACATCAAGAACAAGTTTACAAATCGAATATGCGATAAGTTCCTGAATGATTGTCTAGCAGGGTATATAGAGAATTTTTTTTAACACTATAAACACCAAGTGTATTCTACACTTATTTTCGAATATGAAAACACATCATGGACTTTTTTAACCTATACGAGTAATGTATTTTCATATTTACGATTTTATTTTTATTAATTATTTTTTTTATTTAATTTGTTTTATTTTTTAAATGAGAACACCCCTATAGAAAATTTATGGGTCCACCACTGCTCGGGGGTGATATTGATTCGTATTAGGAGTGGTCAAACACGGGTTTTCTAGGCTAATTTTGTACCGTTAGAGTAGTCAAAATCTCGATTTAAATTCTAAAATATCTTACGGTTCCACTGTTTTACTTTTCTATTTCGATTCTAATTTCACTATAAAATCTACGGATCTTAAAATCCTACACTATTCAGTTTTCATGATTTTAAATCTTAAAAATCTTACGATTTCACAATTCAATTTTTTAAAAATCTTACGATTTTACGATTCAAAATTTTGGGCCAATTATACTTATTTTCCCCCAGGATTTGCAAAATTATGCCTCTCTTCCTTCGATCTCCTTCAGCAACATCATCTAGTTCTCTCACACTGACCATCATCGACCATCATCAATTCATATCAACGTATTAATCATCATCGATTCACCACTTCCTACAATTTTATGATTCCGATTTTACCCCATTGTCGATTCTCCGTAACTGCTATGTGTACCCTTGAATATTCATATATAAATATATATTTACCTGATCATCATTATCAGGAGGCGTTAGGGGCCCAATTTCCAACGTCGTTAGCCTGGGGAAGCTTGGCAGATGAGGGATGCCGCCGCCGCACTTGCGGATACACAATTCCCGCAAAGATTCGATGACGATCTTGCCGGCGGCGGTGCCAGCACTACCTCGGAGGAATGTCGATGTGAGAAGAGGGCAAGACGTGAGTTCCAATGTCTCCAGCTTATTAAACTGCAACAGATTGTCGAGGCCTTGGATCTCTCCCAAATAGCTACACTCCTTGATCGCCAAGTGGATCAAATTTTCAAGGTTCTCCAAGGTCGGCAGCCACACCGACTCCAAACAATCCCAAATCAGGAGCGAAGTTAAAGACGACGGGAGCATACAAGAAGAACTAGCAGAAGAAGAAGAAGATTGTGACGTGCTAGTTGTTGGGACAACTTCTATCTTGGTTTTTTTAAGCATCATGGACTTCAATTTAGATACCTTCCACCATGAATCCTCGTCGGCCGGAGGGATTTCGAGCTCAGAATTAGAATCTAGAACGAACAAATCCTCCAATTCCAGCAGCTCCCAGAGATTAACAACTTTGTACGAAGTGTATAGCAATTTCAGACTTGTGGGAAGCTTCCCAAGCAGTACTCCTCCTCCAGCTTCTTGATTACTACTTGCTTCCATTTGTGCAGCAATAATTTGTTTATCTTCTTCTTCTTCTTCATCATCATCATCATCATCATCTTCTTCTTCTTTTGATAACTGGTAGTCCATGATAGCTTTCTCGGATCTTGTGATTTGCAATCTCTCAAGAGAAGTCAGTTCCTCGATATCGACGAGCACTTCCTTGAGATTGTCGCACTCGAAGTCATTAAGATCAAGGTCTTGAAGACTCTCCATGGTTCCAATTGTTCCACCAGTTATCCTCCCTATTTTGATGTTGCTCAGGTGCAACAATTTCAGGTTCCATAAATTCCCAACATCCAACTCCACGCCTGAATCCAAACCATTGACATTTGAAAGGTCAAGCCACTCCAAACTTCCCGATTCTGGGAAATCGGGGAGTTTGGTCAGGGAAGGACAATCAGACAGGTCCATAACTTTCAGTTTTTTCGCCATCTGCAGAACAAGCAAGCAACATACGTAGTCGTCGTAATACACAATTATAAATCAGAGAAGCTTCCACAAGATAGTTACTAAATATATACTAGGCTAGAAAAAATATATTTTCTTATATCTAAATATATTTTAGAATAATTAATTAATGCGGCCCAACAAGGACTAAAGAAGCGCAACAAACCTTAATTTGACTCCAACCTCCCCAATCATCTTGTAAGTTTGAAGAGCAATTGAGATCAAGAATTATCAAATTCTCCATGGGAAAATTGATCGGATGGTGACCTTCACTTTTATGCAGAGGCAAGCAAAGCCATCTTATATTTGGAAGAATGTTGATGAAGTCTCCAATGAACTCAACTTGTTGTGCTTCGAAATATCTTAGCTTTGGTAAATTCAGAAAATGTTGGCGTTTAAGCTTTCCAACGTTGTCATATGCGTCGTCTACAACAAGCGCTTTAACTTGGTTTGATCCCTAGATAAAAGATAATTAAATCAAGCTTTATATGTTTGGTTTACAAATGGACCAGGAAAAGCCAAAATAAAAGAAGAAAAAAAACGCAACAATTTATGTAAGTTAGGTAATTACCTTCATGTTTTGTAATAGCTCCGTAGCTTCTTTCTTATCCCATACCCTACTCCTCATCCATGGTTGTTCAATGTTTTCCTCACGAACGATCGCTCTCCCCATATCTCTTAGTTGGTCGTGCATTTGAAGGTCACCATCATCCCCAATTTTAAGCAGGGACCTTTGAGTAAGAATTGTAATTGCTGTCACCGGGTGGAAACCAAGATCACTCCACATGTAAGAAGGAAAATCCTTGCGTCTGCCAATATAGAAACAAGCAATATCAAGAAACACTTGTTTAGCCTCGTAATCCAATGATTCGTAACTTATCTTCAACCTTTCTATGATCTCTTTGTGTGGTATTTTCCCTAAGCGTAGTAGTGTGTCCTCCCAAAATGACTTTTCTTCCCTCAGGAGACTGGAACCCACAACCTTAAGAACTAAAGGGACTCCTTCAGTTCTTTGTACAATTTCTTGCGATAAAGTTTCATAACCCGGTAGAGGAGCATTCCCTTGGAACGCGCTTCTGCAAAAGAGTTGAAGTGAGAGTTTGCGATTCATCGGCCGAACTTCATACAACCTGCACTGGTTTTCATTGAGAGACCTCAAGATTTTCGTATTTCTGGAAGTAACGATAAATCTACTTCCAGAGACGAATTTCCGAGGATCCCCCAGAACTTCCTTGAAATCAAACCTCTCATCCACGTCATCGAGAATGATAAGAACTTTGAACTGAGAAACTCTATCTTGTATCAGCTTCCTTCCTCGATGAACATCATCAACATACCCCGGATCAGAATCCCTTGTTATCATTATGTTGGAGATCAACTTCCTTTGCAAACTAATGATACCATCTTTGCCCTCTTGAGTCGTTCGAACGTCTTCCAGAAAGCATCGTCGTTCGAATCGAGTTGCAAGTTTATGATAGACAACTCTTGCGATAGTGGTCTTTCCTATTCCACCAAAACCATGCAGGCCAACCATTATTGTACCTGGAGAGTCTAAGCTCAGTTTCTCCATTACTGCTTCCACATGGTCATCCATTCCAACAAACTCATCGGCACCAAGAAGATCTTCACTTCTGTTTATATGCGACCAAACAACGCTGGAAACACGATCTATTATAGTTGCGTGCCTGTAAAATTAAATATGAGGCAATTATTTGCCGCCAACTTTTTTACTATTTGCCACCAAGTTTTAAAATTTTATTTTTATTTATAATTCTGTTTCACAATGAATTGTGTTTATTGTATAAACTAAGAAATGAAATGAATTTTTTCCTAAACTTAGAAATGAATTTTGGTTGGTGCTTAAATTTGAAATGAATTATGTTTAGTGTTTAAATTTAGGAATTGGTGTTTAAATTTATTAATAACTGTAATTATTTCATTGTGATTATTATTAGTTTAACTTAAAAATAGATAAGGTTTATCATTCTACAATTCATTGTTTAAATTTAGAAATATAATTTTTTATTTCACGAAGCGCAACAGGAAAATTCAACAGAAAGAAGAACCAACTCGCCCGATAGTAATTGATAAGTAATTAGTGTAGTAATAACTATGAATTAAGAGATGAATGACGAGACATACTCATCTTTGCTCTTGACTGTCCATCCTTTTATCTTTCCAACCCTTTGCAAAGCATTTTTCCAGCTAAGTATGGTTTTAGCATCATATTTCCTCGCGTGTTGTTGGAACGCGACTTCGTAAGGCCCGGTTTGGTGCCCGACATCTCTAGGCTCCACCAGGTAGAAAATGGGGAGTATGATGTGCCCGTCGTTTCGCTTTTCACGCTCGACCATCTCAGCAAGTTCGTTGAGGCACCATTTGCTCTCGGCATACTTCAGTGATAATATCGGGATGTAGATTTTCGACTGTTCGATAGCTTTAGCGAGGCTGGGCGCGATTCTATCCCCCTGTCGAAGTTCGTTGTCGTCCAGGAACGTGCGGATCTTGTTTTTCGCGAGGAAAAGACCTAGGATTTCGCTGAACTGATGACGAGTGTCTGGACCTCTGAAACTTAAAAACACTTCGTAGTCCGCGGTTGGAAGGGGCAGTGTTGGTGATGGTTGTTGGGAATCGAAGGAAGGAGCTTGTTGGTGTTGTTGTGAGGTGTTATCATTGAGGTTTGAGTAGGTAGAAGCAGAAAGAAAAGGAGGAGGAGGAGGAGGAGCAAGGGAAGGCCTAATATTGTTGTTTGAGTGTGGAGTAGGCCTTTTCCGTCGAAAACATAACTTGTAGGGGATGACAATCGGGGCTAGAATCACTTTCCCGCATATCCTTATGCAACCCATTTCTACAATATTAGGCATATATATGAGATAATAACAATAATAAGATGGCCCTTGGAACAAAACAAAGAAAGAAAAAAAAAATTGAGAGTGACTAATTGATCAAATTGACATTTAGTCAAAGAAAGATAAAAACTGACTTTTATTTAAGTAATCTATTTTAAATTCAAAATACCTAATACAACTTAACTAAATAACTGAATTTAAATATGAAAAAGGATCCAAATAAGTAATAAAACCATTGATAGGTTAGGGACAACCAAATGTGGCAATTGGATTGATGAATTGGTGGATTCATCATGGACCGAAGTGACATTTAAACATTGAACCAATATGTTAATTTTGAAAAATTTAAGTACTAAACACAAACTAATTTACAAGCTCGTGAAGTACAATGAATTGTAAATCACCGGAGTATATTTTCGTAGTTTTCTCATACAAATCACAAAGTTTTGAAGTAGAAAAAGAATCAAAAACACAAATTTAAAGCTAGCTAGATAGTAATTTTCCACTCCTCGAATCCTTGATTCAAAAATGAATAGTATAATTACTATACATATAGTTTTGCTACCTACCTTCAACCATATATAGATAATAGATGAGTAGACATATATGCACACACATGCACGTACACAAGCTACTTACACTAGCATTTCTACATAATACACAAAAGCCGTATATACATACACATGTAAGCATATACGTAATAACTTAAAATACGTACTTGGTCAAATCTCGGCGACAAAACCTAGCTAGCTAGCTAGCTGCAGGGAAATGAACTCATCGTGTCTGGCAAATGTATCGTTTGGCCTGCGCGCATTCCCATAACAGGCAAGAAGATAGATAGATAGATATTCCCACACAAATAATGGACAACTTTGTGTACGTATTTATATAGAGAAGAAGAGGGAGGATACCTTTCTTAGAAGGAGAGGAAACTATATGTATATATATGTCTAACTAATTATTCTGTTGCTTTGATTTTGGAGCTAGGGAGCTTCATATTCTTTTACAAGAATTGAGACTAGCTTAGCTACACAAAGAAAGATTAAATTATCTTATTATTCTCTTACTCCCTTTTTCCCCCTGTCATAATATAATAAGTAAGGCATCTTATTCTTTTACTTAAACATGAAGAAACGAGTTGTGTATCCATGCACTTCAAAATCAATTTGGAGTAGGCTGCCTAGCCAGATCTCATACGTTGATTTTGATTGGAATCAGAGATTCGATGAGCGAGATAATAAAATATTAATTTTCCTATATTTTTAGTCGATATCTTCTCTTTTACATTTTAGATTTGAAATTTTTTGCACATAAATAACTGATTTAAGGTGATCTTCAAAAATAATGTGCAGTTTTTTAAATATATTTTGAGTAAATGGTTTTGGACCACCCTTATCTCATTCGTTTTACCGAAATTTTGAAAACCGTAAAGATGTTTTATACAACATAACTAGTTCGGTTTTCCGTGCAAAAGAAGAAAATCAAGTTAGTACGAATAAGATGTAGTTCCTTAATAATTAACCGTGCATGATGCGTAACTCCCAAGTTATTTACCCGATCCATTCTCGCCTTACCTAATCATCCTTCTCACAAGTTGCAATACATACAAGCAGTGTATTTTAACAATTCTTTTTAATTTTATTCCAGTATCTTTATTTCATATGCACACATTGTGACATTATGTATATACATAGTTTAAATAATCACACAATTTCAAGCCACCCATATAGTGCTTGCTTGAATGCTACGTACGTAGCCTTATTCATGTAAAAATATACCAACACGTTAATTTATATGACTTGCCGACTACGTACGTAGTAGCCTTTATTCATCGGTGGGAGAAGCAATGCGTCATCACCTTCAACGTAACTGGAGGAACAACACGCCAACCAATCAAGCCTCTCGACTGCTCTCAGATCATCGACTGTCCCAATTGTGTAAGAAAATAGTCTATTTGTTTCAAATAAAAGGTAGTTTTATTGAAGAAGGTTTAAAATGATATTTTTTTGGATTTATGTTTTCAAGGATTTTTTAGGGTTTTTTTTATGGCGATGAAAACAAATAAATTAAATGAATATTTGAAACGAATCAATGATTACATGAGCTCACGATTTATTAGAGTAAAAAAAAAAATTATTAAAACACATGCATATTTTTTTAAAATGAATGAATTTTCGGTACCAAGTTTTTATTTTAGGTGGGGAAGGGAGGCTTTGAAAATAGGAACATTTGAGTTTCAAATGGAGGAACAAAAATAAGAATAAAAAAAAATGTAAAAGTGAGCTTCACATAAGTCATTTTATGTTGTTTTTAAAAGTATTTATTTATATCCGAATAAATAAAAATTGAGGTAGAAGTTCTGGTGGAAGTGATTAAGTATTTGATCGGAGAAGTTGGCTTATGGAAAGCGTAGCATTCATTCACCTGTACATATAAAAAAAAAAAATTGTTAATTAGTCTCGATCGTCATTTTACGTACGCGCTGACCAAAAGAAGTACCATGCATGCATGCATGCAATGCATGAATTCAGATCGAACGATCACTTACGTAGCAGTGCACTCGATCGATCAAGTTGATGCCGACGAATCCTCGCTGTTGAAAAGCCGGGAACTCGACGGCAGGCCTTCGCCGGCTTCGTAGTCCTCGTCCGGCCATTTGATTTTTACATGATTACCGGGCGGATAACTAGCCCTCAGAGCATCGAGATCGCCAGAAGGCAACTTTTGACACCCTCGAATGTCCAGTTCCTGCAGCAGCTTCAAATTGGCGGCCGGCAGTTTCAATCCCTCCAAAGCCGTGCAGCCGGCAAGCACCAGTCGCTCCAGCCATTTCAGGTCAGCAAGGCCCTGGATCTCGCGCAATCTCGGCATGTCGATGATGGCTACAAGGCTCAGATTTTGCAGCGTTGACAAGGACGGAAGCCTCTCTACCAACTTCAGTTCGTACAGCTTCAGGTCCTGCAGTTCTCCCAGACCGGCAATCTCCTCTAGCCGTGACTCCATTTCCTATATACATGCATGCAATGATCAATATAATATCACGTTGGGATACTTTCTAACGAGGGTATCGGTACAATAGCCTGAGACTAGAGGTGGCAAATGGATTGGATCATGTGGATTGATGGATTGATCCATGAATCCAAATGATATCCAAACCTTGGATCAAAATCTAAATTTTGAAAAGTTAATGTACTAATTAAAATGTCACAATAAAAATTTCAGGCACCAAAATGTAATTTTCCAATAACATTTTTCGTATAAAAAATAAAATTTAGGTGCCAAAATGTAAAATATAAAAAGTATCGGTACTAAATCGTAATTTATCATTTGGATCCATGGATCAAACCATGAATCCAGCAATACAATTGGGTTTAGATTAGTTGGATATTTAAGTGGACAGATTGGATTGGATTGGATTGGTGGATTGGATTGAGAATTGCCACCTCTATCTGAGATTGGACGACTAGGATTATGATAGAGTGGTGAACAATGCGAGGATAGTTACCTGCTCGGAGGCTTCACCAATGATCTTGCCAATTTCGAGTTCCTTTAAACTCGGGAAGTTGGAGAGACGAGGTATGCTGCCGCCACAGTTGCGGAGGCACAGTTCTTGTAAAGAGGAGTTGACGAACCTCCCACCGCGGCGGAATGTCGATGTGAGTTTAGGGCAAGATGCTATCTGTAAACTCTTCAAATTGTTGCACTGCAGGAGCTTCTCAAGGCCTTGGATCTCTTGTAGATGGCCACACTCTATGATGCCCAACTCGATCAAGTTCTCGAGGTTCTCCAAAGTCGGGAGCCACTTCGATTCCAAGCAATCCCAAATGATGAGAAACTCCAGAGACGACGGGAGTCGAGGAAGAGGAGAAGAAGAAGAAGCAATGTCTATGTTCGTGTTGATCAAAGTTATATGCTTGAGTTTAGATTCCTTCCACCACGAATCCTCGACGGAGGGGATCTGGAGCTTGGGATCATAACAATCTTGGACCGTCAGTACCTTCAGTTTCAACAGCTCCGAGAGATTAACAACCGGAGACGAAGTTCGTAGTCGTTTCAGGCTCGTGGGAAGCTGCCCTAGTGGCACCGCCTCTTTTCCGTCGCTTTCATCTTCTGGCTTCATAATCTTTAGAATCTCCTCTATGTCGCTCGGCGTCAAGTCATCTATATCCTGGAGCTCATCTGTCAACGGCTTGGTCGTCGTCAGGGTCTCCAGAGAAGACAATTCAGCGATGTCAGCGAGCACTTCCTCCAGATTTTCACACTCGAGGTCGCTGACATCGAGCACTTTGAGCTTCTTCATCGTTCCGATCGTTCCGCCACTTATTCTCTTCAGTTTGACGTCGTTTAGATACAACTGTTTTAGGTTCCATAAACCTCCGACATTCAGCTCCACGTCTGGATCCAAATTACTGACTTTTGAAAGGTTTATCCCCTCCAAACTTCCTGATCGCGGGAGATCGGGAAGTCTGGTGAGGGAACTACAACCGGAAAGGTTGAGAAATTTCAGTTTGTTGGCCGTCTGCATAACATAACGTAGGGGTTAGAAATTCTAACTAGTGCATGTGTTAGCACATATGGAAGAATTAAGCAACAACAAAGAATGGAGTATATATGATATCATAAGCAAACCTTGAGTTGGCTCCAACCTCCCCAGTCACTCTTTAAGTCCCAGGAGTCCTCGAGATCAAGAGTCACCAAATTTCTCATCTGAAAATTAGTTGGATAGCAACCCTCGTTTTTATGCTCACGCAAGCAAAGCGATCGTATGTTTGGAAGAATTTCGTTGAAGTCTCCTTCAAATGCAACACCATGCGCCTCGAAATATCTTAGCTCCGATAAATTCTGGAAATACTCGCATGTAAGCTTTCCAGTTTCATATTCATCCTCCAAATTTAGTGCTTTGACATTGATTGATCCCTGAGATCAAAGAGAACCAAATTATATATATAAGCTCATTTAAATGTACGTACCTTGATCAGAAACCCTAATGAGGGGGATCTGGGCATTGTAAAGGAAAAATTGGTAAATGTACCTTTTTGTACTGTAGTAGCTCCACAGCTTCCTTCTTGTTCCATACTCGACTCCTCATCCAGGGATGCTCGAAACTTTCCTCACGCACGATTGCTCTTCCCATATCTCTTAGTTGATCGTGCACTTGAAACTTATTGTCATCACCAATTTTAATCAGGGATCGGTGAATAAGTAGAGGGATTTCCTTATCCGGATAGAACCCGATATCACTCCACATGTACGAGGCTAAGTCCTTATTTTCACCAATGTATAAACAAGCAATATCCAGAAAAATCTGTTGAGCCTGGTAGTCCAACTGTTCGTAACTTATCCTCAACGTCTGTATGATTTCTTTCGGAGGTATTTTTTCTATTTGTGCTAGTGTGCCCTCCCAAAATGATTTTTCTTCCTTCGACAAGCTTTTACCTATAACCTCGAGCACTAATGGGACTCCATTTATTTTTTTTACAATTTTTTTCGCCAAGGTTTCAAAGCCCGATTGAGGGCCATCCTCTCCGAATGCATGCTTGCAAAAGAGTTGAAGTGAGAGTTGTCGATTCAACGGTCCAACTTCATACAACTTGCACTTATTTTTATTGAAAGAACTCAAGACTTTTATGTTTCTAGAAGTAATGATGAATCTACTTCCACGAGCAAAATTCTCAAGATCTCCCAGAACCTCCTTAAAGTTAAACTTCTCGTCCACGTCATCGAGAACGATTAGAATGATGAAAGGGGTAACCCTATCTTCTATCAATTTTCTTCCTTCTTCAACACTGTTTATAGATATAGTAAAATCCTTTCTCATCATAACGCTGGAGATTAGCGTCTTTTGCAACTCGATGGCAGCATCCTTATCAACCTCTTGTTTTTCTCGTATGTTCTGTAGAAAACATTGTCGTTCGAACTCGTCACCAAGTTTATGATAGACTGTTCTTGCGATGGTGGTCTTGCCTATACCACCAAATCCATGAATGCCAACCATCGTCAAATCGGGAGACTCTAAGCTCAATTTCTCAGTTATTGCCTTCACATGTTCATCTATCCCAACAAGGTCACTAGTATCAAGAAGATTGTCATTTCTCCTTATCACCGCTAATATCGTCTTGAAAACACCATCTAATGTATCTTTATGCCTGTAGAATGAATGAAACGTGGTTTGCAACCATGCAAGCAAGAAATTAAATGAGTATATCAATTAAGAAGTAATTTGTGACAAAGGAATTGATGATTCACTAGCTTACTGGTCTGTTCTCTTGACGTGCCATCCGCTTAGACGTCCAACCAACTCCAAAGCCTTTCTCCAACTTTGCACGATTTCGGGAGCGCAGTTCCTCTCGTGCTGTTGAAATGCTTTTTCGTAAGGACCGGCTTGGTGTTTAACATCGAAAGGGTCCACCAGGTAGAAAATAGGAAGTATGATGTGCCTTTTGTCACGCTCTCGACATTCGACAATTTTAGCAAGCTCCCTGAGGCACCACTTACTCTCGGCATAGTTCGCCGATAATATCACCACGTATATTTTGGACTGCTCGATAGACTTAACCAGGCTGGGGCCTATTTCCTCCCCCTGGTAGAGATCGTTATCATCCATGAATGTACGAATCTTAACGTTGTCGAGGGTGTTGAAGAGGAAGCCGGTGAACTGATGACGTGTGTCTGGACCTCTAAAGTTTAAGAACACCTCATAGTTCCCTTTTGGAAGGGACGATTTTGACAACGATGATATTGATGGTTGTTTAGAAATAGGGGAAGGAACATGTGGATGCTGTGGTGAGGTGTTACTCTTACTTCCGCAACATAATTTGTAGGGTATGCAAATAGGAGCTAGGATCACTTTCGCACATGCCCTTATGCCACAGAAGCAACAGTCCATTTCTGCAACATGCATATGAAAGAAAAAAAACAAAAACAAGTTGTTTAGATTTAGGTTCACTTTCGCATGAAGCATGTCTTGTTTGGTAAGAATATTTACATAAGTTATTTAGTTGTGGTATTTCGTAACAAAAAAGATAAACACTATATTGCATAGAATAATATTCCTTTGGAACATCCGCGATTATAAATGTTGCGTATATATTTATCTTGCAAAATACAATATTTTTTTTACTTGATTTAATCACATAATACATGCATTGAGAATAAATAAGGTATTCTTAATACATGGAAAATGATGTATACACCAACACTTTTTTGTGAGATCTATTATCCATATATGGTTAATTTAGAGTATAAATAATGCATTCTTTCATTCTTAAAACTATACATCTTTAGTATACATCTAATTATAATATGCAATTTTTTTACTTATTTTTAGTATAAATTTGTGCATTGCCTTTCTTTGTAATGATTGTAACACTAATTTGTAGGTTTATAATTGTGATATTTATACAACTGTTTATATAAACTTGTAAAATGTTATTATAAGTAAGTTTGCACTTCTATTTAGCTGGTGTTTGTTATTTTTCCATGCAGGATTAACTAAACAGGAGGGGGCCACAATACTGTTTGTTCGTCAGCAAATTAAACTCCTTATAATAATAAAAAATATTATATCATCCTCGTAAAAGAAATATAATGTATTATAATTGAACTCATTACACTAAGGGAAGCGGTAAAATGATGTTTGGTTCACTCTCTTATTAATTTGCTTTTGTGGTGATGTATAGTTCTCTTATTAATTTCTATTTGAAACGTATCTTCATACTATCATTTCTACAATTATTCTATATTTTGATATATTCATACCACCATTACACAATCGCAGACCATCATGATATAATCTTATGTAATTTCATTTAAATAATTTTGATTATTTAAAATTTTAACTTTATTTAGTTATTATTGGCCTAATACCAGAAAAGGACACATAGTTTACACTTTCTATCACTTGTACCTCTATGTTTGTCCCGTGTAAGTTGTGTCCGATTGTTTTATCTCCGTTAACTTTGACCGTTAGTAGTCAATAGTCAATATTGACAGATGATGTGTCAGATGATGCTGATTATTTTGCCACATCACTTACGAAAAAGTTTTGAATTAAGGTATTTGTTTATTTGGATTATAAAGGAATATATGTGGTGTGGTTGAATTTTTATATTTTTAATTAATATTTAAAATTAGTATGCTCTGATGTGTTGATGACATAGCAAACATGTTGGCACAAAGTTAATAAAATGTTGACCGCCGTTTGTTTAACTGTTAAGTCTAACCGTCAATGAAAGGACGGAACACAATCTTGACAGGAAGACTCTAAACATTGGGACACAACTGACACGAGACAAACATCAGGATACAAATGACAGAAAGTCTAAACTATGAGCCATTTTTTGGTATTAGGCCTTTATTATTTACATAGAAATTTTGACCAGTATTATTTTAATAATTTAATTTATCATCAAACATGAAAAGTCATTTTTAAAATTTGTTTAAATTTTTTATATTATGTTAATTGTATTCACTACAAGAAACTACAATTTTTGTGACTTATTCTATTGCAACAATAAAAAATTCGTCGCAGAAAGTGAAAATTTGCAACGAATCTTACTTTCTCAATGCACATTGTGGCGATATATAGCGGTATGTAGGGTAAAGGGCTGTAGGTATGATATTTTAGATTGTGTTGACCATGTATTTACTTACAAATGAAATTCATTAAATGAAGATAATTAATTTTTTAATTATCTAGATTAGTAATAAAAAAATTGTTTGCGTTAATATTATACTTAGATATGAAGTAATGTTTGATATGATTAATTAAGTTATTAAATTGTTAGATTAAATATAAAAAAAGTTAAATGAATTTTGTATATAGTAACAAATGTTAGTTATACAAAGGATCGATTTGAGTTGGGAGAGAAGAAGTTTTGAGTTGGCAGAGGATTTTTATGTGGTAGGGTTGTGATAAATACTAATAATTTTCTGCAAAACTATGAGTTGCATAAATATAACCAAGAGTTATGCCCATTGGGACATGGTTTAATCATTTAGCTAAAGGAAATCCCTTAGTCACTGTTTGTCTCAGACAGTGTCGTATTGAAACTTAGTGGCGTCTCATTTATGAATGAATTTTTGTAGTAAATTATATAGTACGTTTCCTTTATTATATACAATCGAGCAGTCAGTCATTGAATAATCAATTATTCGACTACGTCACTTAGTTATCGTGTAAACTGTAAACAATAGTTAAAAAGTGACTCTCATATAGTTAGTTAACATATACACTAATTTTCTCAAGCAAATAAACTAACACATACGATCATTATAAAATGCATTTGATCATCACAAAATGTCAACAGAATGAATGTGTAGGGATAAAAGGTCACTTTCTAGTTATAGCAGGAAAAATTATTTTTAAAAGTATAATAAAAAATATATTTCATGTAGCCTTATGTATAAAAAACAGAGAATCCCTAATTTATTAAGATATTTTTGGATCTTTTTCACATGATTATATGGTTTATTTCGAGGAATGAACGTTCCAAAATACACTTCAATTCCTTTTACGTGCTATTGTAACGGGTGGTACATGATTTTGTAGTTATACCCTCATCATACTGTTTATATATATATATTGGCTTCATGGTGACCTATTAGATTTGGGGATATTACATACATTTAGTAATATATAAAAAATCACTATTTAAACCTTCAATTAACCGTTTGCCGAAACAGTAGTTTTTCTTTCAAGCGATATGATTTTGCATACCATAGTTTCGTTTTTTGATAAGGGCAACATAGGTTGATTCTCATATTTTGGTTCTACCGAACACATTCGAATATGAGACCTTCAGATTCAAGACTAGTGGAATTATCACTACACCAAACGCTTGTTGGCTTGTAGACTATATATAATTGAAACATTATGCATATAGACCCTAGCCAAGCACTAATTAATCGGTATATATACAAAGCACATAGCTAGCTAAGGCCTAGCATTGAATAGATTAGGTATTTATTTACCTTATCAATATTTTAAATCAATGATGCGTTCTATTGGACGCCCAAAAGGACACCTAAAATTGACCGAACTTTTTGTCAGGTTATTGTTCTCTTGTTTCTTAAAAGTGATGGAGTAAGACAGCGACTTCTCAATAAGTCTTTTGATTAAATGATGCACTCCTCCGGAAAAATCATTGGCGCGTGTGTAAACGAGGTGCTCTACCTAACTGAGCTATAGCCCTTGTGCTTTTGATACACATTTTTATCATGTGACTAATTTATTGTCAAGATGAATATTAGATGATCTTCTACCTTATTTCTTTGATTTGTTTGATCGGTATTGCTTCGAAAAGATATCCGATTTATAATCCATTGATGCGAGGGGTTCGTTTTCTTTCTCTTTTTTCTTTGTGTTGATAAATGACCTACTTAACTCAGTGGTTAGAGTATTGCTTTCATACGGCGGGAGTCATTGGTTCATTCCTCTCTACTAAAACAGAAAACTAAACTTGATTCCATACTCATTAATTCATTATTGTATGGTTTAAATTCCCTAGCTTGAACCGTATATATAGATGTGTAAACGTGCATACAAACACATGTAAGCTACGTGCGCATGCATATACGTAAATAAATAAATAAATAATATGAGACAGTACTTACTTGATCAATCTTGTTGGTGTCGACACCTCCACGTATCCTTTCTGAGAATGAATCGATGGATGACTTTTGGGAGAATTAATTAAGGGCACAGCTAATTAATTAAGGAAAACCACACTTGCATATATATATATTATAGGCCAAGAACGCCCATATTTGTCCAGCCTAGGCGACATTTCCAACATTGAACATATTTGTCTATTTATACAAGGAGAAGACACCTTGCTCAGATAACAAGTTTTCTTTCACTTGCCAAACGGGAAAGTACAGCTAATTTACGCATTCGCTTGCTTGGTTCTGGAGGAGCCCTAGATTCCTTCACAAGGAATGATTAAAGTATATATTCTTTTGCCCTTTCTTTTCCATGTTTAATAAGTAAGGTACGTTATTCTTTTATGTAAGAAAGCAAGAAGTTGCTATGGTTGGGTCATTAGCATTCTGTACGGTAAAGACCATCTCCGTCCCTGAAATTGGTTAGCAATTTCTAAATGTGGTCCATACATTCACATCATCAATTTTAGCAATTCTTCGCTTATCAATTTCTAGTCATCTACATTTTTAAATTACGCTAGACATTTCTAATATGGATCTCATCTATTATTTTAATTTAGCTCAATACATTGTAATTGAAAAGTTAGTAAGTAAGAAAAATTAAAAAGACAACAATTACCTATGTGGCATTACTAGAAGACTTTTTAATTTAGCAATCTTGCTAAATTAGAAAATACCTCCACATTCGTAGCAATTGTCAGCAAAATGCCACATAGGCTCCACCTCATTTTAGCAATTGTTAGAAATTGGGGATGGAAATGGTCTAATATTGGATAATCAGCGAGGACTAATGGTTTCCATGAACCAGGTTCCACAAAGGCAAAAGTTGCCATATATGTTACCAATCTATGAGAACAACCAAATTGGAACAATTATGTTTTTATATATATACATGCATGGTAAAAAATAATCAAGAATTCTACTAGCTAGATATGATATTTAAATATTTTATCACACACCAATCATGTAGTAACCAATATATATTAATTTTACATGCATGGTAAATCTAATCTACACATAAATATAAGCCAATGTCAGTAAAAAAAAAAAAAATACCACCTCAGCGTCTCTGCTCAACCCGCATATTTAGGAGGGTTCAATTTGTCAATTCCTTCCCTCCTCTCTTCGCCTAAAAATGCTACTGCTATTGTTTCTTTTTCTAATTTCAACTTTTTTATTTTTCACATTCCCACTATCTCACGTCCCACACTAAAATACAATCATATCTTTTATTTATTGAAACCTCGATTATCAACTGTTGTTGTTATGATTTATCAAATCACTGTTTTTGGGTAAAAGGAATGTTGTTGAACCGGTTCATATCGTTCTGCTGGTTTAGCAAGTGGAATGGTACGATCAGCGGAATAATCAATTTGTGTCATATGCTTGCTTAATAAATACGACAATCCAAATAAAATAACAAAAAAATTATATTTAAATACAATATTTAACGTCAATGTCTAAATGTTTATACCGGAATCCAACAAATTACATAAACTTTTAACTTTTATATTCATAAAACATAAAATTAATTCATTTTTATCAATCGAATTTACTAAAATGACGTCATTTTACTTAGAATACGTAAATTGATCATGTTAGTCATACCGGTGGTGTTTATGCGGGTTTCATGACCTGTACCAATCGAACCAGGTTCAACCGGCCAATAATTACCACCGGCATGACAACCACAGGTATAAGTCACCTACATAATAAATGGTTTGTTTGTAGTTTACTTTACTGATGCAACCTTCATCTGTTTCCATTTACTTTGCTCCTATTCCCAACAAATATTGATAAAAACGTTACAACTTAGAAACATAATCTTTTCTTCGAAAATAAAAATGTATTACAGTATGCTAGGCACCCTATTATGATATATATATAAGAAGTTATTAGAGTATGTCTGTGGTCAATTTTAAGCCTGAGTTATTAGAGTATGTCTATGGTCAATTTTAAGCCTGAGTTATTCAGAGAAAATAGTTGATTTTTTTTTGCAGAACGCTCAATAAGTTGACACATTTACAATAAAACTTCACCATTACAAAGAAAATAATTGCCTATTGCTCTTCCACAAGTCGATCAAATTCAAGAAAAAAATAGTTGCTGCAAAAGGATCATATGACTTTGTATTATGACATATTGAGGTCGATGGAGAACATATCAGTTGACCATTTCAATGAAGATGTCAATCTCTTAATTTATAAGTCGATTGAAATGTAGATAAGATGCACACACCGAAAATTGAGTGCATAGTAGATTAATAAGAATTTAGGGGTTGTTTGGATGGGTTAATTTTTTGTGTGGTATTTATAAAGTGAAATAACTCACAAATAAGGAATGTGATATTTGTGTGTTATTTGGGGAAATTGAAAGTTAAATTCTGTTGTTTGGATGATCCAAATAATGGGTTATTTTTCTGTGGTATTTGTGAACACAAATTGCAAAAATACTACAATGACCTCCTTATATATTTAATAAATACCCAATCCCCCACCAACTCTATCTGCTCACGAACAGAAGGTGGGGAGCCCTTTGCTGTCGAGTCCTCTCCCTCCCAGTGATTCTCATCGGCGATTCTTACCTGGCGGCGCCTTCTGTGCCATCCGACCATCTTCTCCCTCCTCCATTGTTGCTCCATTGCCAGGATATAGAAACAATGCAAGCTTCTCAATTTGGCCTCGTGAATGGAGTTGTTTTGTGCAAATGTGGAAGTGAAGCCATAATGCGAACTTCCAGTACTCCACGAAATCCAAATCGTCAATTTTGGTCATGCCCGACTTATAAATCGAAGGTATGTTTTTGATTTATTGTATGTATATATAAAACCCAAAGTTTAACGGCTGGATTTAATGGCTCTTCATCAATAGATATTTGATTATGGTAACATGGAGGTTGCAAGTGCTTTCTGATGTAAGTTCAAGCTCATGGAAAGGAATTTTTTGCTGTTTGGTTTTCAGGTTGGTCGCTACTGTGACTTTTTGATTGGTGCGATCTTCGCACCATGAGAGATAGAGGGCAGATGCACCTGAACAGGATAGTCGAGTAAGAGCTTCAACTAGCTGAAATGAAGGAGGAGAACACTAGGCTGCTTAAACAATAGTGCTCTTGTGAGTCGAGACACGAGTCCGATTGTGCTAGTGGGGAATGCAACCTTGTCATGGAGGTTGAAGTGATTAAAAGAAAATCGACATCAACAACTAAATTGATGAGTCGATTAACCATTAACTAGTGATGATTGTGTGTTGTGTGTGGTACTAGTGTATCTGGACGTTTTTTTATCTGTAATCATGCGTGTTAAGAACATTGAGATTGATGTATGTTTGTAAGCTAATTCTGTAACTTTTGTGTATATATATGATAATTCTGTAACTTTTTTGTATATATATGATAGTTCTGTAAACTTTTGTTCACTCGTGAGCTGTTCGCCAGGAGAGAGTGACGGGAGCAAGCAGAATGAGAAGAAAGAAGAAGCCAAAAGGGAGTCTGTCTCGATATGATGCAAGCAAGGACAAAGTGGGGTTTCCAAAAATAAGCAAGGACAGAACTAGAATAAAAAAGCCCTCAAAACGCATTATTTATGAATAACTCCTCCCCATGTGGTATTCTAAATACTGCATTTATGAGTTATTTATAAATAACTCATGATCAAATAAGGTATCTCATTATTTCCCACCCAAACGAGTTATTTCGGCCGAAATAACTCATAATGAGTTATTCTTTTTCACCGGGCTATAATTTTCAACAATTATACATGGAATGCTTGGTTAAGTATCTACACATATCAAATAAATAGTTTCCATTTTTCTATAGAAAAGTGAATAATTATCATCTTAAATACATCACCATAAAAGGAATTAAGTCTCAACTATGCAAATTATAGTTCTGTACCTAAACTCAATAGATCTTTAGATTTATAACCCAAATTTATTTATTTGGCATATACGTCATCAAATATTGATGAAAAATTATATTTTAGTACCTAATGTTTTGTGTATTACATTTTGGTACCTAAACCTTTGAAGCTATGCAAATAGGTCTAATTTTTGTATGTATATTTAAAACACTCTCGAATAAATGGGTATCCATACCCAACTCATACAAAATTAAGTATTAGAAAAAAGACAAAATCAACGGCAAATAAACCATAAGATAATTATTTTTCAATCCAACTACCTATAAGTGGAATCGACGGGCTGCAGTTTAGACTCTAACCGCAGCAAAGGGTGGCAACAATTCTAGTTAATATATAAACTTAAATCCTATTTACTGTTCACTAAGAGGATGCTAATTTGGACAGCAGGTTTAGGGTGCTAACTAGAGATTTTTTTTTATTATTTAATTTTGGCTAGCTCATGGCCATATGCTACAATTACATTTTTTTTTCTTTCCATCCCATCTTTTTTCCTCCATTCTTCAATACCCAACCATTACCGAACCTGATAGAAAGGTGCAAGAAGCAAGGAAAAATAGAAGGTTGACATAAATAGTGGATTTGGGAAGATTAGTGATGGAACATTGGTGAAGCCGTGAAGGGAGCAGTAGCTTATGTATAATTTTAAGTTAGATAACTTGTATGAATTTATACAGTTAAAATATACTAAATCAATTTAGACGGTTCAGTGGTAACCGATAGTGCAGGTCATCACTTTATTGACCTTTTACAATTATTACGTAAAATACACATCTGTTATGTGAAGGTTACAAAATAATAGTTGTTTCTTAGGTAAAAGTTATACCAAAAGCGTTGCTTGATAGTAGGTTATCGTTTGCTTCCTTGGTATTTGAAGGCATGAAATGTTAAGATAAGTTCCAATGTGTATTCATTTTGCTTCTCTCTCTAGAACTTCTATCTCCTATATGAGCTATAATTTTTGTCAATTATACATGAAATATTTTGACGATGGATATACATATCAAATAAAAAAGGGTCAATAAAAATTATCATTTTTCTAAAAGAAAGATTACCATTTTCACAAAAACACAAAAAAATTACAATTATATATATATATATATCATATTAAAAAGAATCAAATCTCAACGAGCAACCACAACAATGCAATGGTTAACTAATCCGCGGCAAAGCGCGGCACAAGCCAGGTACCAATATATAA